ACTTGATAGCTTGGTGCCATTTTCTACAAGTTAACACCAGGCACCACGCTGCCTTATATCCTGTGTTTATTAAGCACACTGAAGAGACTGCTATCATTTTTGTTTTCTATTTTGTCTTCCTATAGGCCTGCCACTGTGCCAATTTGACATTTATTGAAAATATTAACAATGCCTAAAGTTTATGTGTTGGGCATTTTTCATGTGCCAACCAGGTAATCTGGATGCAGAAACAGTATTACTGCAAAGGAGAAGGTGGACAAAATTTTCAACAAATGGCTTTTTTTTTTTTAATGGGGGAAATACAAAGCAGCAGTAGTGGATCACAACTACAAATCATGCACTGTTTGTTACTGGCAATGACCAATCTCAGATGAAATGTTCAGAAGTGATTTAATCTGTAAAGTTCATTTTTAATTGTGGATTTGTATTATGTGTTCGAAATGTGGGGGAACTATTCCATGTATAGATACTGTCTTGAATATTTGTAAAGTAGAAAATGGTAAAAAGGAAATATAAGAATGGCCTGCTGTATTCTTTATATTTTAGAAAGAAATTGAGATAATGGGACCTTACAGACAAGTTGCTGCTGTTCTTCGATTTATATGTATAGTAAGCTAACTCCTAGTATTTTGCAATTACTGTAAAGTGTAATTTATATTATATTTCTGCTATACTGTATTTAATTGGTACAGAACATTTGTGTGTTAGAATACAGATGGTTTACTTCAGATTTTATAAATGTTTCTGCCTATTTGACTTCATATTCTGTAATATAAGACTTGAACAGATATATTGCTTAATTGGTTACTAATTCATAGCTTCACATATGCTGTATTTACCTTTTATATACATACTGAAAAGATAATACAGTATTAAATGAGGTATATTCATCACTGGTCTCATCAAAAGCCCCTGCCAGGTAGTAAATGTTCTTCACATAAATTATGGGAAATATATAATGCTTGATACTTTCAATTTATGAATTGTTCAGATTATTAATATGGCTACAATTCCATTAGCAGTTCTTCATTCCAACAATAAATTTAGCCATACTTCTTTTCTATATTGGCTGCAACATCAGTGTAATGTGGAGTAAACTACTACTGTTCATTACACTAGTCATATTTGGATGTTGCATTAAACTGACCTGAATAATTCTAACATTTTTCGGAAACTCTGATGCTCTTCTTTTCTCCTTCCATGCAGCCAGGAGGCATTTGGAAACTTTTGGTTTTGGTTAAGTATGGTTTGTCTTGTTCAGACGTGACAAACTCTAGATAATTGGCTTATTTTAAATGTCAAATAAATGTTTGTAAAACTGGTTTATTTAAACAAACCAAAATTAATGATAAGCATAATTCATAGTAGACAATTCAACAAGCTGTGGTTAACTGAAAGTAGAAGTGAACGTTTCTGAAACCCTCCTAGCCATGTGTGGGGTAGAGGGAAGACTGTAGTCTTGTTCATGTCTTACTAAACTATACAGTGGTACCTCAGATTACATATGCTTCAGGTTACATACGCTTCAGGTTACAGACTCCGCTAACCCAGAAATAGTACCTCAGGTTAAGAACTTTGCTTCAGGATGAGAACAGAAATCGTGCTCCAACGGCGTGGCGACAGCGGGAGGCCCCATTAGCTAAAGTGGTGCTTCAGGTTAAGAACAGTTTCAGGTTAAGAACGGACCTCCGGAACGAATTAAGTACTTAACCCGAGGTACCACTGTAGCTTGGATGCATTTGGATGTCAAGCATACTGTGATGAAGTCCTTTATTGCTGAAATAGATTGCTTTTTGAGAAGGTAGGTATGAATACATCAGTATAAAGCACAGTTCTACTGAAACAAAAATATTTTGTAATCTGTAATAAATATTCAGAGAGTACTGCAAATTATAGAATGATGACTGCTTTAGTGATCTTAGTGTTCAGATTACTTGAGCATGTTTCTAAACCTGATTTTGGCAGAAGTCTTCAAAGTGGCATATAGTTTGTGCACACAATTCTATTTATATTATGCAGAGCTGGGACTTTGTTAAGAGCTTTAGATTAAAAATTGTCAAATTACTACACTACATGAAAGATTGCTTTTAGTTAATGCACCAGTTATGTTTTGCACTCAAACTTTGCATACACAATAATTTGTTTTGTTGGAATAGGTAACCTATGTAATTTTTTTAGTCTTGAGGCTGTTGGTCCATTAGGGGGCAAAGGTTTGAGGGGGGGGAACATGCTAACAAAAAATAGATATGACCATTTAACAATTCAAAAATAATGTCACAACAAATTCTAATTCAGAGTTTACAGACTTTGTGAACTTCATCCTCTTCATTTTTTTCTTTTCAAGCAAAAGTTGACAATTTGCAGCTATGGGACAACAGAAGCCAAACAATGTTCCACTGTCCTTGAAACTATGGAGTCTAACTATGGAGTCTGTTTCTTTAGCTGTGTTTATCTAAGACTAATGCAGATTCATTTCAACTAGATGACTTCCATTTTAACTAAAATGTGGTGTCTGGTAACCTACTACCCTAAATTAGGGTTGCCATATTTCAAAAAGTAAAAAATAATAAAAACCACTGAGCCTCTTGGGCTTGCCGATCAGAAGGTCAGTGGGTTCGAATCCCCATGACGGGGTGAGCCCCCGTTGCTCAGTCCCAGCTCCTGCCAACCCATAGCTGTCAACTTTCCCCTTTTCTTGCGAGGAATCCTATTCGGAATAAGGGAATTTCCCTTTAAAAAAGGGAAACGTTGACAGCTGTGTGCCAACCTAGCAGTTCGAAAGCACAGAAAAAAGTGCAAGTAGATAAATAGGTATCACTCTGGCAAGAAGGTAAATGGTATTTCCGTGTGCTGCTCTGGTTTCGGTGTTCTGTTGCGCCAGAAGCGGCTTATGCTGGCCACATCCATGGAGGTGGGATGGATGAAGATAAACTGAGCTTGAATCCTAACAAGACAGGCACTATGAGAGAGTGGTTCCCATGTGAGAGAAATTGGTCCACTGCCTGTCCTGGATGGAGTTGCACACCCCCTGAAGCAGCAGGTATGGAGTTTGGCAGCGCTTCTGGATTATTGTTATCAGGCAGGCATCTTCACTGTAATCTTTTACGTGCCCACTTTAAACATTTTTGTTTAGTCTACCCACACATGTAGAAGTCATAGCTATTGTTGATTTTAATCATATGTTTAATACCTGTTTTTAACACACACACCCCAATAATTTAATGGTTTATATGTATTGTAAACGGGGACGCGGGTGGCGCTGTGGGTAAAAGCCTCAGCGCCTAGGGCTTGCCGATCGAAAGGTCGGCGGTTCGAATCCCCGCGGCGGGGTGCGCTCCCGTTGTTCGGTCCCAGCGCCTGCCAACCTAGCAGTTCGAAAGCACCCCCGGGTGCAAGTAGATAAATAGGAACCGCTTACTAGCGGGAAGGTAAACGGCGTTTCCGTGTGCGGCTCTGGCTTGCCAGAGCAGCGATGTCACGCTGGCCACGTGACCCGGAAGTGTCTCCGGACAGCGCTGGCCCCCGGCCTCTTAAGTGAGATGGGCGCACAACCCTAGAGTCTGTCAAGACTGGCCCGTACGGGCAGGGGTACCTTTACCTTTACCTTTTTATGTATTGTAAACAGCTCACCAACACATTCGGGCTGCAAATCTTTCAGTATTGAGCTAAGCAATATGAATCCCTATATTTGCATACACTTTCAGATCTTTAACCAGGCCTTTTTGGCTGTGACAACTTTAAAAATGTGCTGGGGAGTGGTTTATTCATTGACTTGTTTCTTGTTTTTACTTTAATTACGCATTTCGTTGGTTTCTATATTGTGATTTTATGTTGCAACCGCCCCGAGACCTGCGCGGTATAGGGCGGTATACAAAGAAGGATTAATAATAACAATGTGCTTGTTTCCAACATAATTGTGAAACGTGTTTTTTAAACTCTAAAACACATCGATTTCAAAAGCCTCTGGGAGCGAGTTCTAACGCGATTTCCAATGCAACCCTATACGTGCCAATTAAGAGGAGGGGGCGGGTGGGCTTTGCCTCCGCAGCGCCCGACGCCTCGGGCACCATAGTAACCTCTCGTCAGGCCCGGAGCCGGGAGAGGGCGACGTGCCGGGCTCCACGCAGGCCTCTCTCCTCGCGCCCCTCGGAGGCCGCTCCGGCGGCTGGGCCCTCCCTCCGCCTCGCCTCGCCCGTCCTCGCCGCTCCTGTTCCTGCTGCTCGGCCTGGCGGGGCGGGACCTCACGAGGCGGGCGGCTGGGTTGCGGTGCTGGCGGTGGTGAGTAGCGGCGGGCCGAGGGCGAGGGGCGCAGGTGAGGGTCTCAGGCCCTCGGAGAGCAGCTTCTCGGCTGCTTTCCTCGGCCAGCTGCCTTTCCCTCCGTGGCGACGGCGGGCCTCGCGCCTTTCCCCTCCGTTCCTTAGTAACCTTCAGGGCGGAGGAAACACATGGGAGGAAACAAGTTTCCTCGCCCCGATATTCACGGAAGCCACCAGGAAGTGTATGTGTATTTGTATGTATATACGTGTGTGTGTGTGTGTGTGTTTGTATATACACACACACACTGTGAGTATAGGAGCCTATACTCCCTAGGGACTGAGGTCCCTTCGCCCCCCCTAATATTTGAGGGGGCTGCCCACCCCTAAAGTTGATGGGCATTGCCATTCCAATAGTGTGTGTGTGTGTGTGTGTGCAACGTCATGTTTTAGATTATGTAGGGTGGGACTTACCTGTCCTTCCTCCCCCCCCCCAATATTTTATTCAAGTTGGCACCCCTGAATGTGTGGCGGTGGGGGAGGGGTGTTTCCCCAGTCCTCTTCCTTCACTCTTTCATCAGGAACAGAAGTTGCTCTAATAAAAGGCATGGTGCTTCTCGTTGTGCCCCCCCCTTACCCCCTCTCCTCGTTTTACATCGAAAGGGGTCCATCAGCTGTATAGATCCTAAATTTAAAGGGGCGCTTATGTAAAAATAAAAAGGGCTTGGTAGGCTTGGCTCTGCAGATCCAAGTGCTGTTACTTCTGTTTTGTGTATGTAGCTAAAGAAACCAGATCCAGTTGCTGTTACTTCTGTTTTGTGTATGTAGCTAAGGAAACTAGCACAGGTACAAAATAGAGTTTTTTCCAACCCGATATATAGAGAGTTGAGACTGGATTTCAGCATAGGTCTTTGTGGTCCAGTTTCAGAGGCAAGCATACCAGTGCTAACATGGATCTCCAGGTATTGCTCTCTTTTTTCTTAGCAGCGTCATGTTTTTATATCCTGCCTTCCAAATAATTCAGGTGGTTTCCCATCCAGATACTAAGTAGATTCAGGCTTACTTGGCTTCCGGTGGCTTGTTTCACGTCCAGAATATGCCCCACTCTGGCCTCTGCCATGTACCTCCCCCCACCCTACCCTAAACTTGAAACAAACTGTTTGGGATGTAACCGTGCTACTGTTAAAAGTGCTCTGTACTTAGTACATAATGTTTTGAGAGCAGAAATGCCCATGTCCTGGTGAATGATACTTTATTAAATATGGTGAAACTCTTTTCATCTGTTATATGCTAGTTGGCATCCTAAGTATCATTAGCTGGAGATCTTTGTAGCAAGCAAACCTTCAGAGTTTGTTTTGATCCAATTTGCCTAGCCTAGAGAGACCTGCATGGCTCAACTAATAGTTTTTAAAATGTTCTAGCAGCTTGTATAAATCAGTACATAATAGTATTGCCTTCAGACAATAGACAAGGTTTTCCAGAACAAGGCAGCTCACTCCTGGGATAGGGGAACATCAGGTTAGGAAGCCTGGTAGAGTTTTTGTATGTGAATCAATCAGGATGGGGAAATTGCAACTCTTAGTTTCTGTGAAATGTGGCAAATATGGCTGGAGAATATCCAGTTGAAAGGTATATGTAATTAAAAACTTTGCTTACACAGGCAGTTTAGGACTAGAAGAGAATTCCTGTTTACAATGGAATTTTAATAGTCCCAGTGAAGATAAAATACATACTGTAAAGTGTTGTAGAAAAGCACTTGAGAATCATCTCATATACTTTGTTTAATCCATGCCCCAGAGTGAAATTGATTAAAGAACTCGCGGACAAAACGTTAATTTGGCACCACTGTTGTCAAAGGCTAGGTTAAAGAACAGAGCCTTTCTGCTATGGCCTGCAATTCAAAGTCCACATTCTTCAATTTTGCAGCAATTGCAACTAGCAACAGACACACAGAAGTGTAGGTAGTCTTCTTCCCATTCTAGCCCTAAAGAAGTTGTCAGTACCATGAGTGTTGCTCTTCTACCACTCATGCTGGCCTTCCTGTTAGAGTCTTCCCTCAGCTAAGTCTCCAGCTGTTAAGTGTTAAAGTGTATTGCAGAAATAGCTCTCTCTTTCTGAGCACAGTGGCAAGTATTTAAACAACCCAATGAGGAAGCAGGACACTAATCACAATGGAAGTGGGGTCCCGGATAACTCCAGAGGCAGACAGCAGATGGAGTTTCCTTTGCCATCTTGTCAAATACATTCAGATTTTTTAATTTAACTTTCTTCCATGTTAGGACTGTAAGGAATCCTGATGAATCTTTTCCACTTTACCACAAGAAGGCTGGTTTCTCAAGTATATTGTGGACTGAAACCTGCTTCTTCCAAGAAACAAAGGACGTGCTTTGAAATGGCCCGACCAAGTTCAAGTAAGATAAGATTCTGCCCATGGTGTATATTTGTTTTCGTGTCCACACACAATATGATTTCTGTGAACTGATTGTTTTTGTTCCTGTTGTAAATAATGAATCTTGAAATCTTAAAAGTTTGAAACCTTCCATTTGAATCACTTGGGTTTGGAGAGCTGTGTTGGTGAAGATGATTGTACAGATGATGAGATTTGTTTAATTACTGCTATTTTTTAAAAATGTAGCTTATTAAATACAAGGGGACATTAAGGAGATATTAAGGAGACATCTATTCACCTTCCTGTTTAAGAGTAGAACTGCATGCTGTCTTTACAAATGTGTGTGCCTCAAGTCCGTCTGTGGAAAAAGGGAGTAATTGTAAGGGAGACTCTGTAAAAGGAAAAATTCTCCCTTACAAATATTTCCCAACAGCTGGGCTTTCTTCTGGTTTTAGAGCTCAGCTAGATTTAATAACAAAAAAATTAAAAAGATGGAGGAGGGAGAATATTTGTGTTCCTCATAATGTGCAATAGGATATTACCAATGTGAGACAGCTTACTTTTTTCAATGTCTGGAAATTCTGTAAGTTGCTAATTCTTTATTTCTAAATCCATTTGAGATTGGTCTTGCTTTTATGGTTCAACATAATTTGTGGTCCTGCTACTTTTCTTAAAACTGTACTGCATTGTGTTAGCCATGAATATAGAAATGCAATCATAATGGGAGGTAACCCAGAAGGCCACTAAATTGTGATCCTAAGAAGGCATCACTAATTTTACAAGAATAAATCAGTTTAAATAGTTAGATCCACACAAAAGAGCTCACCCGTACAACTTTCATTTTTTAAACTTATTTTTTACATTTAAATGCCTTAAATAAAATGAGAAGTTGTATTCTGTTATGTTTAGACAAGAGTCTGTATAACCAAGTACTTCAGTTTTGAATATCAGCAGGTCAGGTCTTGTTTCTAAGCACTTTCTAGTTTTGCTATGTAAGATTCCTTAATGAGCTGAAATGGAGGCCTCATAAAGCAAAGCATGCATTCCATTTTATTTAATTTTTAATCATGAACTGGCTATCCTTTAAAGATCAATAGGGTATATACTTCAGCACACCGAGTTGCGTCATGAATGAAATTATTCATGTGCTACAGTTTTGCTTTAAAAAACCCCCTCCGTTTTAAGACTCATCAAACTTAAATGTTTCCAGGGTCAACACGTAAACATAATTTTGTGTCAGACATGTCTTCTGATTATGGTCTGCAGAAGTTTTAAGATACAAAATTTAAGCACAGGCAAAACTAGTCAAGCTCAGAGAGACTGATTTGTCCAGGTCATCCATTCCAGACATCTTTAAAGCTGAGGAGTTTCAAACTTTGGTTTTCCACTTTCAGATAAAAAATAGCTTTTGTATGTGCTTAAAATGTGTCATTTAGAAATAAATCTGACTTTTTCATCTTCTCTTTTTTTTAAAGGTATGGCTGATTTTCGAGAAGTATTTGCTAAAGCAAAGCATATAGCTATTATTACAGGGGCTGGTGTCAGTGCTGAGAGTGGTGTTCCGACCTTCCGAGGTGCAGGGGGCTACTGGAGGAAATGGCAAGCTCAGGTGTGTGCTACTGACCCGTTTTCCCCCCAGGATGCTAAATACTGCTACTTAATAGCCTTTAAGTGCAATTCTACACATATTTACTCATAACTAAACCCTGCTGAGTTTAATGAGGTTTGCTCCCAAATAAGCATAGGACTGCAACCCTAGTAGCTTTGAGGGAATGTAAGGACATAGTTTTATTTGTTTATTAAAACGTTTATTTCTCTCCTTTTCGTCAGGGAGCCCAAGGTATTGTGTATGGTCCTTTCCTTCCTCATTTCATCCTCACAACAACCCTAGGAGGTAGTTAAGGCTCGGAGATACTAGCCTGGTTTGCACAACATGGTAAACCAAACTATGGCTTAGTTAAGGTTGGATATTGTAGCTATAAAGTCATCTTGTAGACTTGGTTCCAAAATGGTGATTTCAGGCTAAATAAGTATCTGCTAGGTCAGAGCTTTTCAAACTTCATATTGGTGACACACTTTTTAGACATGCATCGTTTTGTGACACAGTAATTCAGCTTTACTATAAGAGTACAGGGAGCGTTTGTGGGACACACCTACACACTGCAGCCAACACACTAATGTGTCACGGAAAGCTCTGTGCTAGGTGTTTTCTAGATATCAGGTTATACACCTAGGATTCTGGGATAAAGAAACAATTGGCTACAACCTATTTTTAAGAATGTAAAGTCTGGCTGCATTCCAAATCGGTCCCATACCTTAAACAAAACACACAGATTTACAGATAGGCAGTGAGCAGAAATTAATAGAAACTAGCAGTCTTTATATTGGCCAAGCTAGGGGTTGATTTTGGTTGGCATGTTAGATAAAAGACAAAGTAGTTACTGTACAAAGTGGATATATTTACAGTGGCAGTGGAAGGGATTTTGTGAAGCTGAATGCATTTCAGTGTTATAGCGACACTCTGATCTAAATGTTGCATTGTATAAAGGCCCTATTGATTGGCTTCTCAGTTCTGAATTGTTAAGTAGTGTTCTGATCCCGTGTTTTATATTGTTTAATTGAGTTTCTGCTTTGTTATTGCGTGTGATATAAAACAAATAAAGGGCGGCATTCATCTAAGTTTTACCTTTGAGTAGATTCAATGAAATTAATGAACACAACTAAGTTAGGTTTGTTAATTTCAGTGAGTTTTCTCCAAGTATAACTTAATTTAATACCACCCAAAAGACTTACCTCGATCTAGATTACGCCATTGTTGTCTGTGAAGTACTGAACACACTGAAACACAGTATATAAATGCCAAATATTGTGCTTATGGCTGCTTGCAAATGAATGTGAGGCTTTATAATCAGGTATGGGCGTTCTATTGACAAAGCAACAAATGATTCCTCCCCCTCTACCCCACAGGAACTGGCTACTCCAGAGGCTTTTGCAAGGAATCCCTCGAGGGTGTGGGAATTCTACCATTACCGTAGAGAGCTTATGATGAGTAAACATCCAAACCCCGCACACACTGCCATAGCAGAGTGTGAGGCCAGGCTAAGCAAGCAAGGAAGGAGTGTTGTGGTTATCACACAGAACATTGATGAGCTCCACAGAAAAGCAGGAACAAGGCACCTCTTAGAAATCCATGGTAAGGAATCCCCAGCAGTGTGTTACAGATATCTCATTCAGCTATCCTTTATAAGATGTTTGTTGATATTTCCAGTCATAAAGACATGGAAATTAAAGACCTGAGAATTAGCTATGATGGGACATTTTCCTTCCCAGTTCCTCTCTCAGATTTCTTTGAAGGCATTCATAAGAGGGAACTTGCTTAATTGCAGCTGGAAGACTGAGGGTAAACATGTGATAGCGAAGAATTGCACCTGTATTTTTCCTTTACTGAATTAAAAGCAGAGGAGGGGTTTTGATTGGGAAACAATATTTGTTGTGTTGGAGGAAGTATTAAGCAGAAATGCTGCTTTAATCAAATTGGGAAACTGCATGGCTGCATTTTATTAAAAAAGAAAACGTTGGGAAATTCAATAATAGTTCTCCTGTATAATGTGTAAATCAGCCTTGAAAGGCACATTAGAAATTACCATAGAGGGTAGGAACTTAATTAGTAAACAAATCAGGGCCCAGAAGGTCATACACAGCCTTTCATATATGTACTAGCACATGCATAGACAAACTCGGCCCTCCAAATGTTTTGGGACTACAATTCCCATCATCCCTGACCACTGGTCCTGTTAGCTAGGGATGATGGGAGTTGTAGTCCCAAAAAACATCTGCAGGGCCGAGTTTCCTATGCCTGTACTTTCCCAGTGAAACATCCTTTGTCCGACTGAGCTATTCTTGAAGGATGGAGGTCATTCAAGGGGCTCCATCAGAAAGGGAAAAATAGCAGTGCCCCTGCTTTAGGAATGGGATTCTGCAGATTCTGGCTGTAGTATTTAATTCACTTCTTTTAAGAAGTTTGTTTAGTGCTTCTACAATACATGATTTTTAGAAGCTAGAAAAGTAGCCTTACTAAATCTGCTGTTGACTATGTACTTTGTAGAATTATAGATTATCTGTGTGTATGACTTGTAGTCAGAAGAACAAATAGTTACTTGGGAATTGGTGAAAATTATTAACCTATTATTAACCTATGATAGTTTATTTATTTGGGCTTGCATTTTTGCAGCTCCTGTTGCTTAAACATTTCAATAGTCTCCTTTGGCTAGCCAGTAGGTTGTTTCACTAATAAATGCTTTATAATATTCTTCCAGGCTCAAAGTGCTGAATTAGGCAACTTTCAGTTCTTGTAAGATGTATGAGAATCACACTGCTGGTATGATGTGTTAGAAGTTTTGTATTATCAACTGTGAAGTCCATGTTTAAAATATGGGATTGTTATTTACAGGTAGCTTATTCAAAACCCGATGCACCAGTTGTGGAACTGTGACAGCTAATCACAAGAGTCCAATCTGTCCTGCTTTGGATGGGAAAGGGTAATGGATCTGTGCTGTGTTACCTACAGTTTGTGTCTGTTGGCTCCCAATGTAGACATTTTCTCCTGTCAGATTAGGTGAACATTCAGTAGGTAAGATACTGCATACTTCATAGGGTACTGATCCAGAGGGCCCTTCAACCTTTGGAAGGGGTTTTTCCTCCTGCAGGTGTGGGGGCTGATGCTTAAAGGGAATGATTAAAAGCTCCTGTCCTGCTCAAGAGTAGAGCTGCCTTTCACACCAGTCTGGATCCCAGTAATAGAGTTTAAGTAGTCTGCTCTGAGTAGGACCAGCATTGAATCCCACTTGATGAGCAGGATTTACCTAACCAGGCCCATCAGCAGAAGCCTTGAACAATTATTTCTGCTTGCTTATGGGGCTTTGCGTGCCCCTCAAAATTGGCTCTTGGAAGGTTGGGAGAACCCCCAGAACAGTGCAGGGGGGCAGGAGAGGGGGGCTGTTCTATTTCGCAAGCTGTGGTGCTTGCACAGAAAAAAAGAATTGGAAGAGCATGACATTGAGTTCCACCCCATGTGATGATGATGATGATGATTACACTTGCAATGGTCACAATCTTTATTTGCATTTATAGTGCTCCAGATCCAGATGCTGAGGACAGCCAGATTCCTGTAGAAGATCTTCCTCGGTGAGTGCTGAGCTGCTGAAGCATTCAAAAATTGCATGCAAAGGAGATGCTCTGTTACTTAACTTATTGCAGCAGAATTTGTAATAAACTAGATGAAGATTTTTAATTGCTTTGCTTTCTTCCCAGCTTTGTGGCAGTCTAACATATATCTCCATAATTTTTCTTGGCAGATGTGAAGAATGCAATGGCCTCTTGCGCCCTCACGTTGTATGGTTCGGAGAAACTTTGGATTCTGATATTCTTACAGAGGTTGAAAAAGAACTTGAGATTTGTGATCTTTGTTTGGTGGTAAGTGATTTTTGTTCTGTTTCTTTGTCTTTAATTTGTTAGAACCTATAACTTAGTATCGGCTCATGCTTCCTAGGAAAGGATTCATGAAGCTAACTGTCAAATATAACAGACATGAAATGTCAATATTTTCACATAGCACAAGGTTGGGCATTTGAGTGGTCCAATTGAGTTGTTCAGTTGATGGCTCAAATATTGTCAACGAATGGTCAGATCTTTTTAAAGCATTCATTAAAATAACAAGCTTCAACAGAGTTTAAACTTGTGGTGATTACAAAAGGAAATTAATTACCAATAAATGTGAAGTTCCCTTTGCATTGAGGCTCTTGTTATATTTTGAAATTTACAGTTTCCAGTAGAATTGGCAGGTTATCACATACCAGTGGCTTTCAGTGGCATATGTAGAACTTATTTTACATTACCCACAATACTTATTTTAAGGGCGCACAGAAACATCCTAAACTGTGCTAATCTTTGATCCAACCAGATATGTCTGCAATGGTGTAATAGTAGTCATAGGCAAAGGTACCCCTGACCATTAGGTCCAGTCGCGGACGACTCTGGGGTTGTGGCACTCATCTCACTCTATAGGCTGAGGGAGCTGGCGTTTGTCCGCAGACAGCTTCTGGGTCATGTGGCCAGCATGTCGAAGCCTCTTCTGGCGAACTAGAGCAGTGCACGGAAACGCCGTTTACTTTCCCGCCGGAGCGGTACCTATTTATCTACTTGCACTTGACGTGCTTTCGAACTGCTGGGTGGGCAGGAACAACAGGAACTCACCCCATCACAGGGATTCGAACCGCCGACCTTCTGATCAGCAAGCCCTAGGCTCTATGGTTTAGACTACAGCACCACCAGCGTCCCGCAGCTGGTTTACAAACCCTTTTTTAAAAAGATCAATGCAGTCCTCAAGCTATAGTATGATTAATGTTGAAAAATGTAGGGCGCTCCCAATGTCTGGTTGAAAAAATGTGATAGCTGCAACAAGCCAAAGTTTTGGGCAGCTAGGTTAATGCTTATGAACCACTGCATTTTCTTCTCTTTCTCAGGTTGGAACGTCCTCTATAGTATATCCTGCTGCTATGTTTGCTCCCCAGGTATCTGCCAGAGGAGTGGCAGTTGCAGAATTCAACATGCAAAGCACCCCGGCCACAGATAGGTTCAGGTAGCACCCTAATATTCTTTAGAATTAATAAATGCCATTATCTGCAGAATTAATTAAAATGTAAAACCTGCTGTATCTAAAATGTTTGCTAGCAAAGGCAATGCAATTTTCTCACTTGCAGCCTAATCTGCAGACCAGCAAATTTGTCATTAAACTTCTTAAACTCCATAGAAATAAATGGGATATCAAACAAATGTAAAAGATTTACTGGTTTATGGAAGGGGGGATAGGTAAAAGGACTAACAATGTTCTGATATTTGTTTAGGGTTAGGGTTTTGGAATTATTTGCCGAAGTACAATTATATTTGATTAAATACTATTTATATCCTGATTCTGTTTCAGGTTTCATTTCTCAGGTCCCTGTGGAACCACGCTGCCCCCAGCACTTGCACGCCATGAAACTGAGATAATCTCATGAACATTTATCAGCAACACAGAGGAAAAAACCCAGCTGCTCATTCATCAGGGTGCAAGCATAAGAGAAACGTGGGACTTGTAGAAAACATCATGCCTGCAAGTGAGCAATAGGATTTAAGGGTGACACTGAAGAAAATAGATCATGATTTTCCAGTTGGTTACAAAAATGAGCAAAGCAAAAGAGTTGTCATGGTCAAGGACATTGGATAAGCGGTTACATTTTTGTTAGACAAAAACGATTTATGTGAAATGAGAGCATAAAAATGCCAACAGTTCAAAAGAAGACATTTGTGCCCTGAAATATTAGACTACATATTTGGCAAATCATAATGGGGAGGGACTTCATCATGACCTTACACTTCTTTGTGACTACACAAAATAATTTTATAAACCAACTGTAAAATTCTGAGAAAGGTAAGAGTAACCAGATGGGGCAAATGACAGCTTTTCATATAGTCTACACTCCAGTTTTTGTAGGAAAATGGTAAACAAGGTGGTCTTTTTCATGAAGCAGTGCAATCCTCTTAAAAGGTTTACTTCCATCCAGGATGGTGCACATTTCTTTGTGGTGATCAGTGTGAGAAAATAATTAAAGGAACATAGGTAGCAGCATCCATGTACAAAGTATACATGCTTAATTTCTTCTCGCTCTTGGACTTGTATGAATGTATCTGTGGGTTTGTTTTATTAGTCTTTTACTTGTTTTGTCACTAAGATAAGATAAACCAATGCTTTGTCTGTTTTGTTCCAAAGCAGTTTTCCTATCAAAACATCAATATATATTAGCAGATCTCATTATATAATTAGTGCTGCATTAGATACCACACTAACCATGTTTGCACTTCCTCTCAACTATGATAAAACATCAGTAACTGGGAAATGGAATAGAACGCAATGCTGAGTACTGTGAAACAGAACTTTCAACTTTTTGATTATAATATGGGTCTGCAGTTTTCTTTTTTAAATTTAATATTAATATATAATATATAGAAGAATTTTGGAGTAATCAGTGTGCTTCACATATATTATCATTATCCATCAATTGTAAGAGGCTTTGTCATGAGCAAAGTTTCTGGAGCTGCAAGGAATATAAGCTCTCTCAAAATTTGAAGTCAGTTTAAGCTAACATCCCCCAACCCCCATAAACAAACGGCCTAGAAGGGGAAGCCAGCAGGGCTTATGCTGGCACCATCTGGCAGAATGAGAAAGGAGTATAGCCTTGCACATGGTGCATTCATGCCAGTTTGGTGCTCAAAGATGTGCACCACCCTCAATCTTAGAACAATCATGTTGAAGAAATGTTAGATGGCAACTTCTTGCAGCAAAAGCTATAGAAGGGCACTGGACTGGTGCCTTTTAAAAACGTAACAATTTGGGCAGCATTCTACATGGTTATATGGGAGCAAACACAATGGAATTTACATTTGGGTAAACATGGATAGGCTTGTGTTGTTTTAGTATACGCTTTTGCCACGTTTCTTTTGGCTAGTGCCTAAGTGCAGTTGCATTCTGGATATTGGAATCTTGGGCAGTGGGTCAGAAATGGAGCGGTTTCTGCTGCGCAGACGCCTTATGCCCTAACAATGCGAGGGGAAATTATGTATGTGATTTGTACTGTTCTTTCACAAAAGAAAATAAACTACGTATTAATCTGAAAACAGAATCACTGGTATCTAATTGACTGAATCTCTTGGTTGCTGCGTGTGGAACTCAGACTGCCCCTTTCACCTCTTCCTGCATTTTCCCTGTCCAGAGGCGGAATCCAAGCTTTAAGCGTAGCTGTGACTGGACACCAGGGTGTCCATTCAGAAGCATGAACAAGCAACAAATAGCACTTTCTGTTCTTTTTAACTTGGGTCCTGTTGTGTGGGCATGTGTGTTGGGGTGGGGTATTTGCTGTAACAATCCCGATGCACTGTTAAAGACACCCGTACTTCAGGGTGGGGGGAAGCTTGTGCTGAGAGGGGATTATGATCGCTTCGCTGTGCAAACTCAGCCTTAATGTTGCAAATTAAAGAGTCGAGGCTAGTTTGCTTTACTTATAAAATCCTCAGTGCAAACCTTCCTTAAGCTGCAGCAAAACCTGCCCCGATCCAGTAACTGACTGAAGCAACGTTGCAACTGTCGTGGTTTAAAAAAATCACGTTTCCACAAGAAATAAGAACCAAGCTGGAAAGAGCAACAGATATATTACTGTGTTGCCATCCCTTGAGGGCGAGCGCGGGAAGAACAACATCCCTACTAATCGACTTATTTTGGCTTCGACTGGCAACTCCAACGCCCTCGGAACCTCGCCGCTCGGCCAACGCCGCCTGCCCGGAAGCTTATTTTCGCGCGCCGAGTCCGCTCTTAGCAAGTCCCCGCTCCGCCAGACTGCTTCCGGGTCAAAGGGACGAAGGGTCAGCCGGAAGTTCGAGAAGTGGAGAAAGATGGTGGCGCGGAGGACTCGCTCGATGGCTAGGGAAAGAGTCGCTGCGGAGGCTGCCGCCGCCACCGCCGCCTCAGAAGAGGACGAGGAGAGTGACGAGGCTCCCGAGGAGGTGACCTTCGAGAGCGCGCGCGCCGCGGCCGAGGAGGCGCGCCGGTTGGCGGGGGAGCGCGTGCGCAGGTAAGGCTCGGCGTGGGACTCTCTCCATCCCGCGCCTAGAACGAAGCCTTGCGCTTCGGGGGTCAGCCTCGTCGTGGCGGGGAAGGGCGGGGGTCGTAGTTGACCGGCGCCTGCCCTCCCTCCCTCCCTCCTCCTCCTATGGGGCGGGCGGGGGGGGGAGGCAACGCCATGAGCCTTTTTGTGGGAAAATTGAGCCATTCGGCAGGACTGAGGCGCCCGAACCAAAGAGAGAAGCTGACGTGGCTGCATCTTGGGCTTCAAGGAGCTGCTGCGTTCTTTTCTTGTTATCCCCGTGTCTTCGTCCCTTTCTAGTGTTGTAAATGGCCTTTGCGTAAAAGGTGGAAATTGTCCATGATAGGCCTCAGCTGTGAGAAAGTATCCCTTACTTCGGTAGGAAAATAGTAGGTGGAGTTTGCTGGGAGAATAGTTTGCTGCATGCTAGAGAGAAGAGAGTATCAGTTCTTCAGACAAACGAGCCAGGATTTGGTAGTGTGATTCCAACTGGAGAAGCGCTTGAATTTTCTTCATTCTATCCTAAACGGTTCAGTTCTGCAGTTCCTCAAGGACCACCTCTCCCTATATAAACTGACCTGGACCATGAGGGCTTTTCTGCTGCGGCCCCCTAATCCTCTTCCACCAGGCCTCTGGCTGATGAATTTTCTATGGCCTTTTAAATGTGTTTGTGTGTGGGGGGGTCTTGTCTTGTTTCAACTATTTTGTGCTTTTACCCTGTATTTTTTTATCTTGTGAACTACCATGAGATCTTCAAATGATATAAAATAATAATAATAATAATACAACATCTTAGTCCAAAACTAAGGGAATGTATTAGAGATTTTTCTTGGTAGATTTGATAATACAATGCTGTCTACTGAAAGTAAATTTTCAGTCATTCATATTATAAGGACAATTTACTGTGTTCACGTAATAGTTTAAGTGCTTATCCCTCCTCTCTTCTAAACATAGACAATTGTGGCCATTGTGAGAATACATTCTTCTTTTCCCTTGACTGCACTTCTTAGCTAGTTTCTCTTAACTTTGTTGATAGCACTTGGAACAAGCACTCACAATTGACTATACACATTGATTCTTCTTGTGCCCATGTCTTCTCTTCATAAACAACATCTTATTATTTATTTACTCAGAGAAAAGGCTACCTTAAAAGAAAAGAGACGACAGAAAGAAGAACTATTTAAGGAACAAAAGGTAATGTTGAAGTTGTTTTATTTTTCATGCCCAGCAAACTTCCACGCTCTGAAAATGTTTAGCAGTTGTACCATACTGCCCCTGCAGTTGCACACCATAAGACTGAAAATCACCATGAATAACATCAAAATTCAGTCCCAATGTGTTATTTTGCAGATACCTGTGTGAGGGATTTTCATGTGTAATATACAAATGTTATCTACAAACTAATTTTCTAGAGTTCCCAAACGTTTTTAAATGTAAGTGAAATATTACACATACTCAGTTTTGCACCACTTTTTATCTTAATGATTGCAGTCTATTGAGGTAAACTATTTCACTATACCTTTTAATGTATTTTTAATCCTAGCCCCTTTCTTTGCTTGTTGCAATTTATCACAGTGCACATCTTGGGTACAGCATAGGCTGTTTTGCTCAAACCTACGTGGTTCCTGTTTGTATGGTTTTATAAGGACCCATGAACAAAGTGGAGGCAGGATATAAATATGCAAGCTTAACGACTTAAGCTCTACCATTCTGGGTTAGACAAAAGCTCTGTCTAGTTCAGTGTCCTTAAACAGCAGCCAATCAGATGCCTCTGAAAAGTTACAAAGTGTCCTGTTCCCTCTTCCCATGGCAAGACTTGTCTGGAAGTTTAATCTGGGATATACTGAACCTAACTAAAGATCTTGTACATAGCCCAGCTCATTGGTCATTCAGTCACAAAATCATAATGATCAAATGAGATATCAAGGCAAAGCCTATTTATCCCTTTCCCAAATTAATGCATGGTTAGATACCAAACTTTCTACTCAGCAGTCAGCTAGGCATGGTATACCATTACTGCTAGCATTGTCAGAGGGGCTGCTTAATAATTTGCTAATCTTGGTTTCTTTTAGAAAAGAAAGCTGCTTCCTGAAAATGTGTTGGAGGAGTTGGCATCATCAACACAGACTAGGTAAGCAAAGTATGTTCTGGAGCACCAATAAACGTTTCAGTGAGATTGGGTTGTATGCTTCCTTTGGCTGCAATACCCATAAATGACTAACCCCCATCTACACTGATGAATTTATAATTTCCAACCAACACCAATGGCCAGAACAGGGAGAGCAGCACATGAATCAAGTGTCATACTATGCAGCTGGTGTATGCCCTACCTTTAAAAATGTCTCTTAAATAATAAGGGAATTGGAAAGTTGAGTTACTGGGCGCTTGCAGAAGCCTTCCTATCTTAGTTTTGCTATTATATTCATGATAGGTAAGCACAGCTATTAACAGTAATTGCTGTGCGTATTTTAATAGGTTCCATATGAATGTGCCATTTTTGTATTTGTGAATAATTGATCAAAAGGTTCCTTACTAAATGTCTTCCAATGTTAATTTCTCCTTAGCAAAAATCCGCCATCAGCCATGCAAGAGCAAGGTATGTGTACGGTTCTGCCCACGATTACATTGCATTTATTATGTACTTTGTATCATGCCATAAATATTAGGATCTACTTGACAATGCCCATAAAATATTATGACTATTATAATAATGACCATGCTAACAATTTTTGTGTTGTTCATTAATCTTATAGTTTGAGATAATACTTTCACTTCTCACAAAATGCATCAGTGCAGTAAACTTTGTTCTTTAATTCACATATTCATCATAAATGTGCTGGGTCCCCAATTAGCTGCACCTGTTTGTCTGATAACAGTGGTCATTCTTTCTCTTACCACATACATTTGTGAATAGTTTAGTTGCTAAAGAGGCTAAAAAAACTACTGGAATGGGTTTGCAACTAGTTGAAAAGTATTACAGTGGTACTTCAGGTTAAGTACAGTGGTACCTTGCAAGACGAATGCCTCGCAAGACAAAAAACCCGCTAGATGAAAGGGTTTTTTGTTTTTTGAGCTGCTTCGCAAGACGATTTTCCCTATGGGCTTGCTTCGCAACACGGAAACGTCTTGCAAGTTTGTTTCCTTTTTCTTAACACCGTTAATACAGTTGCGACTTGACTTCGAGGAGCAACTCATAGAACGCGGTGTGGTAGCCTTTTTTGAGGTTTTTAAAGACTTTGAGGTTTTTAAAGCTTTTCCAAAGCTTTCCCGACACCGTGCTTCGCAACGCGAAAAAAATCGCAAGACGACAAAACTTGCGGAACGAATTAATTTCGTCTTGCGAGGCACCACTGTACTTAATTCGTTCTGGAGGTCAGTTCTTAACCTGAAACTGTTCTTAACCTGAAGCACCACTTTAGCTAATGGGGCCTCCCACTGCCGCCGCACCGCCGGAGCACGATTTCTGTTCTCATCCTGAAGCAAAGTTCTAGAAGAGCACTATTTCTGGGTTAGTGGAGTCTGTAACCTGAAGCGTATGTAACCTGAGGTACCACTGTATAGTCCTGCATGGTATCCATTGATGTGTAAAGTTTCAATGAAAGTTTCCATTATTTTTATAGGTCAGAATGTTGAAGATGATTCTGAAAGTGAGAATGGCCAAAAAGATACAGAGGAAGACAGTGAAGAAAACTTGGCAACTAGGTATGGCTGAGCGATTCTTACATGTCATAGTGTTGTAAGAAAAGCCCATTTATTTGATCTGTTCTGCAAGTGCATATGATGTTCTTATTGCTCCATGCTCTGCCATAACCATTTATTTGGTCACAAAATCTCAGGTCCAGCCGCTTAAAGTACAGTGGTGCCTCGCAAGACGAAAAGAATCCGTTCCGCGATTCTTTTCTTCTAGCGGTTTTTTCGTCTTGCGAAGCAACCCCATTGGCGGCTAAGCGGATTAGCGCTATTAGCGATTTAGCGCTCTTAGCGGCTAAGCTGTTAAAAGGCTATTAACAGCTTAGCTGCTTTGAAAAAGGGGGGGAAAGCAAAAAAAAATGGCGAGCTTCGCAAGACGTTTTCGTCTTGCGAAGCAAGCCCATAGGGAACTTCGTCTTGCGAAGCGCCTTTCGTCTAGCGGGTTTTCCGTCTTGCGAGGCATTCGTCTTGCGGGGCACCACTGTACTGTACACAGATAGTGTTGCATGTCAGTTGTATTGCAGGATTCTCCATGTACAAGATTTGGCTATTTCTGTCCATTAGTTCAGTAAGACTCAGGAAACTGCTGTGCTTGGCTTGAGGATGAGCCTGGGTTTTATTACTACAATTGCCTTTTAAAAAATCTTGGAGACCCACAGCCAGTCACAATAGATAGTACTGATATAAGGCATCTTTTATTTATTTACTTAGGAAAGTTTATAACCCCGATAGGTTTTTATACTGTTGATGAATTAGCATTGTTCATTTTGAACAAGCCTGAATTATTATTATTATTATTATTAGTGAAGCTGAGGAGTTATTTAATTTTATTTTGATAAATCAAGGTTTTAGTTGTAACATTATTTCCCCCCACAAGCCATTTTAGAAATCATGCAAGCTTTAAAATATGCTGCCACGTGTGACAGTGTATGTTTTCACAAAAGACATCTCCATGTTAATACAAAGCCAAGCTTAGAGGCAGCTTCTGTACTTGCAACAGTATCCTGTGAAGACTGTCAATAGTACGCAAAGTAGGACTGCCCACTAAAGTAATAACCTCAATACCTGCTGTTAGGTATTTTTGACTTGTCACTTAAATTAGCTTTATGTATGAGAACTTGATCACATACATTAGATCAGTGTTTCCCAACCTTTTTTGGGCAAAGGCACACTTGTTTCATGAAAAAAATCTCGAGGCACACCACCATTACAGCCCCGTGACGTCAGCGCGCAGCGTCACGCCGCACGAAAGTGTAAGTTTCAATTTTTTCCCCTTGCCTTCCTTCTGTGCCAACCGCCAAAAAGCCAAGACTTTAGGGCAGCAGGTCGACACGGAAGAAGCTCTTACCTAAGGACAGGTGCGACGGCCGTGTCCTCTTCTGCCACACTTGGTAGCCCTGCCTCACGGTCGTGACTCCCACCCTGATTTCTCCCCGCAGGTCGAGCGGCACAGGCAGCCCAATGTGTCCAGCCCAGACACAAGCCCCGCTTCCCCACTCTAGATCCTGAATGCGACCAAGTGCTCTGGACTCCCGAGCAGGGTAGGAAAGAGGACTCGCATCTGGTAGCCTCCGGGCTCCTCGCCTGCTCGAGGGATGGCATTGCAGGCAAGCTGCCGGCCGTCGCCATCGCCGCCCCCTCATGCGAGTGGACCTGCCCGGAGTGGTGGGCCGGGGGAGGCTCGCTCTCTGTGGGGATGTGGCCCGCACGCGCGGCCCCGCTTCCTCCTGCCCAGGGCTGAGCTCCTTACCCGCGATCTCGGTCTCGCGCACGCGGATCCCACTTATTCCGAAGCTCGTGCCACTAGCCGGGGCTCTCACACTGTGCCAGGGCGAGGCGGCGCGGCCCACTGACGTCATCGCGGCTCGCCGCCGCCCTCGACTTCCCTGTTCCCTCCCCTCCCTCGGGTCGCCGTGGTTACCGAGGACTGCAAGCTGCTCGGGCGAGCGTGGGGCATTAAGTGGGAGAAGGAAAATTAAAATTAAAACTCGCCTGAAGGCCGCCTCTCCGGATATCTTTTGAATTTTTCCCGCGGCACACCAGGCAACGTCTCGCGGCACACTAGTGTGCCGCGGAACACCGGTTGGGAAACACTGCATTAGATTACTAGGAAAAAAGGGAAATTGGAAATCATTTGACTAAAACTTTCTTAATGTAGGTCTGCTCTAGTAAGAAAAGTTACATTACAGAGAACTAAGTATCATTTTATCATTAGGCTCCAAGAAAGCTATATGGCTGTGCAGCTAAAAGATCAGGATTTAACCAACAAGCAGCAGCAAGTGGCCAAAGACTTCCTACAAAAACACCTCTATGGAAGAGGCTGCCACCGAACAACAGGTACAGTGGCCTTTTGCTTAACACATTTGTAGAGTTATACATGTAGCTTATGCTAATTGACTCTTTGTCTTTTCAGCAAACCAGTATTTTTCTGTTGGAAACAAGAGAAGTGATGTTAAAAAAGCTGCATTCCAGTTTGTGAATAAGTCTTGGGGTAAGTGTTTATTTTTTGAATGTGCATCCTATGTGGGTAATGAAGATGTGGTATGGATAACAATCCCCCATGGAGCTGTTTGTTACGTAGGAGCGATGTAAAGGAGGTTTTCTTCCTGGGACAGTGCTTGTAAGTGTCATGTTCAGGTTTGACACTGATCCATCTTTAAAGGACAAGTGTTTTAAAAAAGCAGAAAACCCGGCCAGAAATAAACTTGTGTGTTTACAGTATATTTACACTGTAGTGTAATTAGCTCAGTGGTCGAACACATGATTTGCCGAAGTTCCCAGTATTTCAAGATACTGTATTTTTCGCTCTATAGGACGCACTTTTCCCCCTCCAAAAATTAAGGGGAAATGTGTGTGCATCCTATGGAGCGAATGCAGGCTCCTTGGCTTCAGCAATAGCAACGCGAAGCCTCTGAAGCGCAGAGGGAACGTTCCCTCCGTGCTCTGGAGGCTTCGCGTTGCTTTCGCTGAAGCCAGGAGAGCAAGAGGGGTCAGTGCGCACCGACCCCTCTCGCTCTCCAGGCTTCAGGAATAGCTGCCTGAAGCCTGCGGAGCACAGAGCAAGTTCCCACTGCGCTCCGCAGGCTTCAGGGTCCTTTCACTGAAGCCAGGAGAGCAAGACTCTCCTGGCTTCAGCAGAGAGGGAGAGCTGCACAGCACCCCTTCAGCCAAGCCGGGAGGAGAAATGGAAGGGGCTCCGTTTCTCCTGTCGCTTCGCTGAAGGGGCGCTGAGCAGAGAGGGGGAGATTATTTTTCTTCTTGTTCTCCCCCTCTAAAACAAGGTGCATCCTATGGTCCGGTGCGTCTTATAGAGCAAAAAATACGGTAAGCGAGGGAAAGGTTCCCCTGCCTGAAACCCCAGGAGAGCTGTTGGTCAGTGTAAACAAATACTGAGCTAGACAGCAGTGGTTCATCTTGGTAGACGAAGTCAGCTTTCTATGTTCCTAAAGAAGTTTGCTTTCTTGTTTGTGGGAGATTGGCTGGACATGTTAATATAAATAAAATAAGGGTTGATATAGTCCTGAGCATGGAGCTCAAAGCACCTTGTTTGTTGGTATTATTAGCGAGATCAAACAGGCCTCCTAAGATAATGTTTTTTTAGATACTGTGTTGAGAGAATGGTATCACACCTAGTGCTGTGGATAAGTTGATGTGAGACTTAAGCCAAAAACTGTCTGCCTTAATGTACTCAGTTGCTGTGGCTTTCTCAACCCAGAGGTGAAGGGGCAGATTGGCGCTTCTTTCATAGACAATTTGGAAGGGACCTGGCAGCAGCTGTTACTTAATAAAATCTTTTTCTTTCCTACCAGGTGAAATGGAAAAGCAAAAGGCTAAGAAGTTCACAAAGCACTGGGTTTCTTCAAAGATAAGCTGCTGAAACACAGACTACATTTTGACAAGTTGTGGAAAATAAATTGGAGTTTCTAAGTAAGAGCTGTTCAATATGATTTCTTACATGTACAGTGGTGCCTCGCAAGACGAAAAGAATCCGTTCCGTGATTCTCTTCGTCTTGCGAAGCAAGCCCATTAGCGGCTTAGCGGATCAGCTGTTAAGCGGCTTAGTGGATCGGGAAAAGGGGGGGGGGAGGAAAAAAAACCCTGCAGGAACTCGCAAGACATTTTTGTCTTGCGAAGCAAGCCCATAGGAAATTTGTTTTGCGAAGCACCTCCAAAACGGAAAACCCTTTCGTCTAGCGGGTTTTCTGTCTTGCGAGGCATTTGTCTTGCAGGGCACCACTGTATATTGAAAAGAGGCTTCATATAAGCCAACTTCTGTAAATACTATAAAGTATTAAGGGCACTGTCATATTTTTATCCTGCTTTTCTCCTCTAAACGGTGCAGTGTACTTTATTAGCTTTCCACATTTAAGCTAAATTTAACGCTGAAATGCAATTCTATTCCTTAAATCCTTAAAGGATTGGAATGTCTCCTGCAGGGTTACAATTCTGCAGGACAGCTTTTTCATAATTGTTTTTATTTTAACAAATCTCTAGGTTAATAATTGCATATATGCTTGTAAACAATATCTGCTGGAATCTCAATTGCTAAAATAAAAATGCAAAAGAACCAATATGGATCACAAAATCAAGTTTTTCTTGGCCCTGAATTTCAACTTTCACATACAAGCTGCACTGTGAAAATAAATACTTCTGATAAAGCTATGCCACCCCCATTGGTGTTCAGTTAATATTAAAGCAGCGTAAGACAAAAAGTGAACCTAGACTGCTATGATCGCTCATCAAAAGGTTCTTTAAACCCTTTTAACACGAAGGAATCCCCTGCAGCCCATGTCATGACTTTCATAACTAGAGATGTTTAATTAACTAGTCCCAAGTCCAAAACACAACACAAGCAAAGTAAGGTAGCCATCCTACCATATGTAGAAGTATTTAATGGCTGGTTAATTATGGTATCACTACATTTTATTGCAATAGAGTACTCATTTAAGCACTTTTAAAAATGCAGGGTGTACAAAGATTAAATTAAGACTGAAATTGACTAAATATTTGGTTTTTATATAAATAGGCCATAACCACACTGTGTTGACATATAATACTGTTATAATACAACAGTTAAACAGGTGAGTCTACAACATAAGTTGTCTGCAGTTAAACAGGAAACAGAGTTGAAAAGACCATGTTTAAAACAAAAACCACTAGGAAACAGGTTGAGATTGTAAGTAGCAACAAACATATTCACTCAGCTCCTGAGTATTTCAAGTTTTACAGTACACATTAAAAATATTTCTTCCCATCAATACTATACAGCCAAACTGTCAGGTACTTATGCATTTTGCAAATTACACTGATTGATCTATGTAATAATGGGGGTGGAAGTTGGCAAATTATCCTGCTTGAAGTTTACATCACCCACATACTAACACATCCACAACATCATCTATTTTGTCCAACCTTCCATGAAGGCAGGACTTTTTTGGTTTGTCTGGAACAATTCAAGGGTTTGTCAATCTGATGTTACCAATGATACTTAACTCTGGTTAAAGATGGAAAATTTATCCTAACAGTAGGTTAGAAAATCATTTGCGTCATGCTGTAAACTAGGAAGCAATGTAAAGCAACAGACCTGTCCTTAGTACATAATTTAAAAAATCCAAACTCCATTCAGCAGAGCTGGTCTACTTTCATGTTGAATATAGCCAGATTATACACCTTGGACATCATCATATGCATAGCTAGTGTAGATAATCTTCCACTGTGGCAAATGCACAGGATCCAATTCCTGACCGAGCCATCAATCCTAGACACTGTGAAGCCTGTCCCATTGCAAGAGCAAGTGGAGGTTGCTTTGGTAGATTGTGTGTCTCTGAAAAGATTACATAATATGTTACACTTAAGATCAGGGGAGGGGGAAATCTTTCTTATCAGATACTTTTCCTACAAAAATATTGTGCCTCTGCAGTTACCAAACTGGACTTTAAATTTTTCCCAGCATCCCAAAAGAGACTGAATATTTCACATCACAAGACTTTACCATAACATAAACCATACAGGAATTATATGCTATCAAAAGCTTGTGAATCTTACCAGTCAAGATTGGTAAGAATTTAAGAATTGGACAAATTTAAGATTTGTGCCATTTGATGTACCACGTCATACAAAAAATAATCCTTCAATGAAAATGAGTGTGTAACTTTGACATTTACGGCAAAGGGATTTGGTTAAGTGCCAAAAATTGCCATTGCAATTTCAACAATACTGTTTTTGGCATACAACACCATAATTGCTTTAGGTTAACTTACAATAATAAATGTGCTATGAAAAAAATTGGCAAGCCTTACCTAGTATTGCACTATTGAGAACTGAACACACAGGCTCTCTCTGAATGGGGTCCAGCTGATTTCCTACTGGACTGCTCCAGGGATCTGAATATGCAAGTAAACTGAATGCATCCTGTTGAGAAATCTGGGCTTAATTTTGTCATTATCAAATTATCATCCGATTAAAATCAAGTACACTTGCATTATTTTTTTATCTTGCTAAAAAAATTGAGCTTTTGGTAGAGGGCACTATTTATTATTTGCCAAATGTAAATTCCAAATTCTCTTTTAAAATCATGAAAATGATTGTTACATTTGTAAAAAGCCACAGTTCCTAACAATACACAATATGAGATCAAGTGCTCACTATCAGAGCAGGGGTGGGACAGAAAGTGCTTATGAGAAAGGGAACTGGTTTTTTGTTGTTGTTTAATCGTTTCCGACTCTCTGGTTTAATTTAGTCATTTTCCACTACATTTCCTTAAGTATGATCCAATTCATTCCTCCACACAGAATTAAAAACCAAAGCTATTCTAGCTACCAAAAACAAATCAAACTGCTTTTCAGCTGCACATTGTACTAGTTCTGTTATTTGGGTGGCTATTTGGCACAAATAGGTGCAAGCACATTAATGTTTCACAGATAACAAGCTAGTGAGCTGAGAACTGCAAACATCACCCTCTTCCTTGGCATCGACTGGATTGCACATCAGTGTGGATATCAGCGCAAGCTCATATTTTACTGGAAAGACCTTTTAACTTACTTTGAGCATTTTCTTATTTGCTGTGTTTTTGCCACACTCTCTTCTTAGCTGCTCACTCATGGCTTGCAATTCTCTGCCAAAATGAATCATTCTTTCAATAGCTGCTTGGCTACCTCCACACAGTTGACGTCTTAACTGACTGGAATCAACCTCTGTGAGAATGATAAGGCACTATCACTAAACAGCACAGCAGTGAGAACACAGTGCTTTGACTACACACAAACTCAATGAATTAGGTCAAAGTAATAATTGTGGTTGATCAATTCAGGGTTTGGGCTTCTCATTTAAGACTTTAATTTCTAATCCATTTTTCAACTTTGAGAGCTCTGCAAAGCAGCATACAATAAAAGTGACAACAGCCTAGATAAAACCACATAAAAAACACACTCAGAACCCACTACACAGAACCAAAATTCAAAAGGTATGACAGAATGATGATTTTATTGTTCTTCCAAAGGAGCCAAGATTGTGGATCTGGAAAGCTTCCTTGGGAAGAAGTTCTACAAAACTGAGGTCAATGCCAAAAGTGCATTATTCTTAGTAGCTGACAAGTCTTGATAGCAGTGGTCTAATAAAAACACAAGCCAGAGCTCTTTAAGTATCTAAGATAGACTTTGGTTACAAGGAAGGTCTGCTGACTCAAATAAAAACTAATTTAGGTTTGTTTAGTGTGTCTATACTAACCCAGAGGATGGAGGAGGGGAAGAGAGTCATCCAAGTCATATTATCAACTGCTTTTGAAACTTCCCTCAAATTCAGAAGCAGTTGTCTATGAGGTAAGCAAGACTTTCTTGGGCTCATGAAACTGGATTCTGACCACTGTAAATATCACTGCAAATGTAACGAAGCAAGCTTTATTTTGTTTTTTCTGTGTGTTCTGTTTTTAAATTTAGCCAGTCGTATCAAACATTTCTCATTAGGCAAGTTTGTATTGATTAAATGAATTTAAATATACTTCTGTGATAAGCTATCTTAAACCATGCAACTGATTCTGCAACTTGCTCATGCATTAAAGAAGTATTTGATATGTGATGTTCTGGGCTCACCACATAGCAAGGCATCATGCTAATCTTGTAGACAGACGCTGGGTTTCACAGAAGATGCCTTTTTGTGCATGAACATTTTTACAGGGCATGAAAGTGGTGACAATTTCCCCTTCAGTCTAGAAGTCCTTGTGCTGGGTTGGATCTCCTCCAAATCACGGTGATGGAAGTTTTATTACAAACAAGTGGGCCTTTATTTTAAATAAAACCTGATAGACATCTGTCTGTAATTTGACACACTATGGAGAAATACCAGAATGTGTTTACAGTACACCCTCCCTAAAATTATAGAAATAAGCATCCATAATTCTTAAAGCAAAGGATATTCACTAACTGTTCCCGATTCTTGGACTTCAGCTGAGCAAATATATTCCTTTCTTGGAAATGCCTCCCTTTACCACGGTTATGGCTCCAGACCTGATTCAGGCTTGGTAGCTATAGAAATGTAATGGCTTTCTGCGAGGAAAACAATCTTTTTGTCTTATGAAAGTGCTTCTGAATTTTATATTTTGGTATTCCCATGAATTTGTTTTTTAACTAAGTAGTACCAAAAATGTGGATTGGGGGTGGGGGAGAGAAGAGGTACATTAATTGTCACAGACACTTTTTGATACACACCTACAACAACAGCTAATCAAAAATTCTTACAGTAGTGTTAGTAGGTGTGTGTTTTGTTTTTCAAGGTACAACTTGGGAAAGTATGATGAAAATTTACAAAAACTATCCAGAATGGAGCACAGACATTTGCTAAATTTGTTCCACTCCTTTTACATGTAGTTCTCCTTTGTCTGATCCATTTAAACAAATTAAGTTTGTTCTGTACCTAAATGCTCTATAAGGCTGCAAGATAGGAAGGATTTGGGGAATGACATCAAAAGCACACTTGCACACTACCTCAATCACGCAGATGCAGACAGCATCCTTGTACCTCATTGGTCTATGACACTGGGAAAATGAGTAACATAGCTCATTATGCAGATTAACTTTCCCCAACCTGGTGCCCTCCAGATATTTTAGAGCACAGCTCTCATCATGCCTAATTATTGCCCATGTTGGCTCGGCCTCATGGGAGTTGTAATCTAAAACATCAGGAGGGCTGAGGCAAAGCTGATGTAGTTGTTTCGGCTTTACTCATTAGCAGGAAAAGTGTGGTGCTGGTGTGAAGACATTCCACACAATAAGAACCACTTAGGAGTTGTTGTCAGCAAAAGGTGTAACGCTGAAGCCATTTCAAGCAACTTCTGTGTGACAATTCCATCTCTTCCAAGATTATGCAAACTCATATGATATTTTACAACAATGGGAAGGAAGTGTGAGTCTTTCAAGCCATAGTGAAGCACCGCAGAGTGAAAATAATCCAATGCAAACTAAGTAAATTATAAATGCAGACATTACATATAAAGATTTTCCACTGACTATAGCACTTCAGAGCTATATAAACAGCCTGAAAACAGGTTAGGTATGCCTAAATATCATTTGGAAATAACTGCAAGTAAACAAAACAAAAAAATGGTGATAGTAATATTAAATATGTAAGAAATTTTGCTGCAGACCCATTTCTGTGTCACATTCTTCCATTTCGTGATCATGTTTAGAACTACCGTTAAGGAAGCCATTGGATGATGTCTCTGCAACCCCATTGGAGTAGTGATCTGTTTCCATGTCTACATCATTGCTGAGAAGAGGAAAAATGCATCATTAAGTGTATAAAGAGTTGGAATGGGGGTCTCATTTTTAAATGTGCACCTCACTATGTCCCACAATGCAACTGGGGAAGAATAAAAACCTATTTTACCACACATCTGCATCTGACTTATGGTAAAAAATAAAATAATCACTTGACTGATGGGGTGACAGAGCTCTTCCTTGAATAGTCTAGTTCTCTGTGTGAGCTTGTGCATCCAAAAGTGTTGTAAGAAACATTACTATTGGAATATGAGAAAGTTGAATTTCATGATGAATTCAATACATTATGAAGAATCCTTAATAAGGGGTGGATCAAAGGGTATAAAAGCAAGCCCACCTCAAGCAGGTTGCTCCCATAAGCCTGAGCTTGCTGGCACTGCCATCTTAATTATGCTGCCCCTGACAGAAGCACGTGGGTGGCATGGCAGTGGGTGGTATGTATGTAGGTGTACTATTCAGAAAGCTGAGAAAGCAAGCTGAGCAATCATGGGCCTCACAGAAACACATGATGGAGGCAGTCCAGTGGTGGTGAAGCCTGCAGGGACCGTGGCACTTGTTGCCCAAATATGCCATATTCTGACACCTGGCCTGTCTAAAAGCCAGAACATGAGCTCCTAAAAAGTTAAGTGTGGGCTGTGAATCTCCAAAGTCACCACTTTTTATTTATTCTGCAACAATTCTTGTAATAGCACAATACATAACTCGAGGAAACAGGACCAGCTTTCCCTGTTGCTCCTGACCACTTAACCTATGCAGCTCATTTTCTTAGCCTATCAGAAACTGGTGCACCAAGTAAAATATAAGCCCCATTCAGATGTAGAGTACATCCAGTACATTCCCACCTTTGGTCATATTCACGATTTTCAAACACTGGGATTTCTCTGCAGACAACCACACAAAAGATGTACATATTTTGGGAGCCGTGCTAAAAGCATGACCCACCACCACATCAACATAGATAGGACCTAAATAGGATAATACATCAGCAGGGCTAGACTTTGTCATTTATCCACATTGGTTCCAGGCAGGCAAGAATTAAAATAGTTTTAAAATATAGAAATGCGAAAAATATTTTATTTGTGACTCATGTGTTTAATTTTTTAAAAATAGACATGTATGGGATTGTCCAGTTTCTCTCCTCTCAGATGGAGTATCTGAAATATATTCACATTAGAGGTGGTATGTAGATTCCTCTAAACTTTCTCTTTGTACAGGGGGTTAAGAGAGGGAAAGGGATTTCACAGAGAAGTATGTGCTGTACAGCAGTTTCAAGAATGGTTGATATGAGACTGGGGAGAAAAGTCCCTGAATAGTAAGTGGTTGACGTGGGGAAAGTAGTGATTGATTAGTGCATACCCCATACTAAAAGCAGAGAGAAAAATATTTGAAGTTCACCCACTAGGGTGATATGGAGGCACTGAAGTGTGTAATAATAGCCTATACAGGTAACTCACAACTTGCACTTATCTTACTTATGTGATCACAACTTTGCATGGGTGGGGAAAACAACCCACTCTCCAATTTACTTACTCCCCTGCATCTATGCAAAGCTGTGATCGTGGGACCCAGCTTTGGGAAGATGGTGCAAGGGCTCTGGCAGCATCCTCAAACCCCATGCTGCCTTCCCAAAGCTGGACAAGCAACTCTCCACCTTGCAGTGAAGCCCAGTTCTGGGGGATCCTGAGTTTATGCAATTTCGCTTATATGCGTGATGGCTAGGAACGCAGCCGCCACATAAGATGCAAGTTACCTGTCCTAGAAAATCAGTACAATGCATAAATCACGAACAGTGGTGGATGAAGAACAGTGGTATCAGGTTGGAATGAGTGTACTTACCTGGAGTAGCTGTTAACTTGCTGTGATCGTGTTACATTTATATTATTGAGCTCCGGTACATTCAAACTGGTGGACTGATGTTTACTGTGACAGTAAGACTGATAGGCTTTGTTTGATATCACTCCATTACTGCAACTACTTTCAAAACCTAAAACCCAAAAAGCAAAAATTCTTTTTAAAAATAATCTAGTGTTTGAATTTACAAATGTTTGAATTTACAAATTTTGAATATTCATAATTCCATACAACATGGGTTTTGCATAGAGGGCAAGCTAACCTCAAAACAATATGGTTTCTGTCTTTCGGCACCTGAAAGGACTCTCCTCCCATCATCTCTCCTCCCTCCCCAGTAGTAGTATGAAGAAGCTGTCCATTATTTGATCTACTGTGGTCTAGATAGCATGGGATGCAGCAAGAGAAACCATTCCTTCTGCCTGCGAGACAACTGTAATGAGGTTTAAACTTTTGGAAGAATCTCTTTGCTTGATCCTTATTTGCTTCTTAAATAAAATTATGACAGTGGCAATAGCTGCAGTGGTTAATTGAAAGAGAGGCCCACTTGTCCATACACTATGGGACATGTCTGTCTCTATTGTTAGAAATAAGACACGTGCAGAAGAAAAGTTGTTAGTGCCAGCATGGAGCTGAGTGGCAACACTGCAGGACACCAGCCACAACACAAAGCATTTCATATGCTAATAGACAGATGGATGAAAAACTGAAGATTCAGAAGTGAAACACCTCTGTATAACACCAGCTTCTGCCAGCTCAAACTCACCAGAACAGTGTGTGCTACTTCCTTTGCCTGTTGCTAGACTGTGAATATTCATTCCATGGCTGGGGCTCATACTAGGACTACTAAACGATCGAGGACTAACAGGATAGCTATCTTGAGATTTTGGACTGTGACCTCCTAGACATCGTACTTCACTGTCTGTACCATTGACCATTTCTATGAATTGCCGTACCCTAGGAAACGTGAGAGAAGAGTTAGTTTATGAAGCCAATATAATTTCAATAATCTAATTGCTCTCAGTATTATTAATAATTTGCATTATAGTAGTTTGGATGCTGTTTAATACAAATGAAGGTCAGTGAAACATATAATCATTACTGCAGAATGAGAGCATCTACTTCTTCCCCCGCCTTTCCACAGCTGTAACAGTAACTGCCACTTGGAAACCATTCAAAAATAGAAGATTGGGGAATAAATGAAGGAGCTTTGCAGCAGAGGAAGGGCCTTTTCTCAATTCCTAACTGCAGCTGCTTCCTCAAGCCCCATAAAGCTTTACAGCAGGTTTTTAATTCTTCCTTTTTAAGTGGATTACATGGCCAGTAGTGGAGATTCACACACCTTAGTGTACAAGAAAAAGACTACTCCAGTGTTGAAGGAGAAAGCGGTGAATTGTATTGCTCATCCCCAGTAATAGGGGGACTATTTTTAATTCTTAAAGTGCCCCATGACAGCACTTCACCATATTTTAAAAATCCGGTCCAGGTATTTCAAACTAGCACAGACCTATTTATGTACTTCATTCTCAGATAATGGGGGGGGGTGGGGAGGGGCATTTGCTCCCTCTCTCTTTTCCTGGTTAGAAGCTGAAATTATAGAAGGAAAAAAGAAGTAGATTTCTGTGAGATTGTTGGGCAACAGGCATACAGAGTTGTCCAAGGCAGGGATGTGTGAAGGGTTATTAGCAGTTTCACAGAAACCAGGTACAGTGCTACCTCGGGTAATAACATTCCTGCTTACGAACACTTCAGGTTACGAACTCCACAAACCCTGAAGTAGGTGTTCCAGGTTGCAAACTTTGCCCCGGGATATAAACGCAATCCGCTTCCAGGGCTGCGGAAGGCTTATGTAGGGAATGTGTGCCTCGGGTTAAGAATGCTTCAGGTTAAGAATGGACTTCTGGAACGAATTAAATTTGTAGCCCGAGGTAGGTAAAGGGACCCCTGACCATTAGGTCCAGTCGTGACTGACTCTGGGGTTGCAGCGCTCATCTCGCTTCATTGGCCAAGGGAGCCAGCGTACAGCTGTGGCCAGCATGACTAAGCCGCTTCTGGCAAACCAGAGTAGTGCACGGAAACACCATTTACCTTCCCACCAGAGCGGTACCTATTTATCTACTTGCACTTTGAGGTGCTTTCGAACTGCTAGGTTGGCAGGAGCAGGAGCAACGGGAGCTCACCCCATCACGGGGATTCGAACCACCGACCTTCTGATAGGCAAGTCCTAGGCTCTGTGGTTTAACCCACAGTGCCACCCGCGTCCTGTAACCCGAGGTACCACTGTATAATCTGATATTAACTTCACATTCCAAAAGTTCTGCTACAGAACTTTCAGGATTATAACTGTGCTCTTTAAAAAATTAAATTAAATTAAATTAAGAGGTTCTGAAGATTGAGGAATAAAAGTTAATACTCAAAGTAACTTTTTGCAATTCACTGCACTAACATAACCAATAAGATCATTAACTACTGTGGAAGCTTGAAAGTCGTAAGGGTGTCCACATAAACTCCTAACGATTAGACAGCAATTTACAGTACTAACAATTTACTTTAAGACTTACTTCAAAGCAAATAAGAGATTAGGATTTCTTTCTAATAAACTTGGATACAATTGTTGTGTTGTTTCAATGGCTTCTCCCATTCTTCCTGCTAAAACCAGTTTCTGAATTCCTGTGGAGAAAAAGAAGAAACAGATTAAGAACTGTACATTCCCCCTCCGCTTTAGCAAGCTCTTTCAATGCAACCCACATTGTCTAATGCAGCAGGTCTCTTTGAAGGCAACACTTCCACCAACCATAAGCTGAATGGTGCTGGGAGAGTACCTTCAAAAGAGACCAATGTAACCATTCATAAGCTACACTGTGGTTACGGAGATGACCAGACAGTGGTCTATCATCTGATGCCACTGTTACATTAGGTGATTGTGTGTAGTCCTACTCACCTGTCAAATTTGGCCAGCAGAGGAATCCCTGCACCCCTGATATAGTTCCACACCCTTGATGTAGTTAAACATTTCTTGTTAAAAGTCCTCAACTTCCACCAGATTTTGCTAGACACGTTTGCAACAAATACTTTACATCAACTGTGAACCGCCCTGAGACCTCCAAGTTTAGGGAGGTATATAAATTGAATCAATCAATCAATCAATCAATCAAATCAACAACAAAATCCAGTATTTTTCAGAACATCTAAGTTGGTATGTTGGAATGGTACGAAAAGGGGGGGGCGGAGCCTCTCTTATTACTGTACTTTGCTTTATTATATTATTTGGCAAACCTGCCTCCCCCGAAGAACTGTTCACATTAACTATAACAAGCGAGATTGGAAAGTTTTGTATTTGTTAATATAATATGGCTCTAAATATATAAACTGTGTGAAAATAATAATACTATATAATTAGGGCTTTTGATCTTTGATTTGATTGGAAGAGGATAAAAGATTCTCCAATGTGTGGACATCAGACAGAAGCAGAATCTCATTAACCGCTGGAGAGACATTAAAAAACCTTGGACAGTTTTCTGGAATCTGTGTGGGAGCTGTGTCACACTTTTAATTTTTTTTTAATAAATATTTTATTAAAGTTTTTAGGTTACAATATAATAAACAAACAAAATTATAACGAAACATAGCATACTTTCTTATCTTCTTGTGACCTCCTCACATCTCCCGCCCCTACCTTCCACGTTAAGAAAAAATTTAATCCAGCAAATTATCACCTTACTTCCATCCTTACTGTCTAATTATCAATTAAATTTCATCAAATGTTTATCCAGAATAAAAGTTGTTTTTTCTTACATTTTAACTTATCTTCCTACTTCGCATCATCTATTTTAATGGTGCCAAATTGTTTATAATCAAGCATCCTGCTTAGCATTCATACAGTTTACAATGTTTTTGCAAGTAAGTCTTAAATTTTTTCCAATCTTCTTCTACCGTCTCCTCTCCCAGATCTCGGATTCTGCCGGTCATCTCGGCCAGTTGCATATAGTCCATCAGTTGCATCTGCCATTCTTCCAGTGTGGGTAGATCTTGAGTTTTCCAGTGCTTCGCGAGAAGTATCCTTGCTGCTGTTGTTGCATACATAAAGAATGTTCGGTCCTTCTTTACCACCCCTTGGCCTACCATACCCAGAAGAAAGGCCTCTGGTTTCTTAGAAAAGGTATACTTAAATACCTTTTTCAGTTCATTATATATCTTTTCCCAGAAAGCCTTCACTTTAGGGCAGGTCCACCAGAGGTGGAAGAATGTTCCTTCCTTTTCTTTACATTTCCAACACTTATTATCAGACAAGTGATATATTTTTGCAAGTTTGACTGGGGTCATGTACCATCTGTATATCATTTTCATTACATTTTCTTTCAAAGCGTTACAAGCAGTAAAATTCAACCCAGTAGTCCACAACCTTTCCCAGTCCTCAAACTGTGTCACACTTTTAATTTGGAAATCCGCCATGATTGGAAGTCAAGGCCGGGCTGCAGAATTACAAATCGTCATAGGGGGAGGCAAGCCTTTAATATGTCATTATATTTGTGTTTCCGGTTTGATTTGGTAAATTTCCCCTGGAAAGGCTAATGTTTTATGCAACCAGTCTGGGAAAAGCAGATGCTTAGATTTGATTTTATCGGAACTGAGTGAAGATGGCGGCTGCCAGCAGCGAAAAGACTTTCGGATTGATTCGGCAGAAACACCAGCGTGTGAGATGCTGCGAACTTACAGAGGGGAATCATAGACATAAAATCCACACAGAAACACATCATTGTTTTAACTCGCTTGTGGGAACAACTCAGAGGCTGTGAAAGAATGAAGGTCAAAAACAGAAAGAATTAGAGGAACCATCGGAAATTACTATGAAAAGCAGTAGAAGTATGAGATGATCAGAACCCTCTGAACTTGAAGCATAGGAAGTCCTATTAAAATTTTATAATTTGGCAAAATATTCAGACAATTTGATATGTGTAATTTGGAATATTTAATGTGATTGGATTGGATTGTTAAAGTGGAAAATTCAATAAAAATGAATTTTTAAAAATAAATTACAGTATTTTTCAGACTTACTTTGTCTATTTTTAATGGAAGCCAATTCTTCTAGTACAGTCTGATCAGTAGATCTAGCAAAGGCCTCTGCTGTTGCACAGTACCCATGATGTACCAAATAAGATGAAACCATCCTGTAAAAAGTGAACATATGCAAGTAAATACATAGCCTGGAGGCAACTTTTCAAACAAAGAACTCAAAATCCTTGAGAAGTGGTTTTGGTAAATTTACATTATGAAATATCCTGGGATAATATTCTAATATTCACTTTTAGCACTACAAATTAATTTAAACAAGCAACTTCCATGCAGAGTTACCACTTTTTCATGTTTTCAAATGAAACATGTAAGCTTATGTATATTTTAAGTATGCAGCAACATTTATTTGGCTGCTTGTTACTAGGATACTGAAGATACAAAACATGAGAGTGGCCAAGGTAACAACCCTGAGACCCCCTGCTCTTACTTCCTATTCAAGACAATGGAGCTAGTCTAGAAGAGTTAAGTGATTTAATGCTGCTGCTAAATCAAATATTTAATTTAGGCATACAAAGCAGCACTGAGCATAGGAAATTTCTTAAGCTCTGAAACCTAAGGCAGTTCTGGATATTAACACAGAAGAGGAGCAATCAGCAGTTCCCTGGAGGGGCAAACAAACTGAACTTAAGGTTGCTGGTGCAAACTTTAGCATCTTCAGCTGCAAGGTAGAAACAGGCTGATAAATGGTATGTTAATTTTGTGTTTACAGAACGGAGAGCATGTGCAGTATCATTCCTCCCTTCCTCATCCAAAGCAGAAACAGAGTAAAAACTGGAGCACCATGTCCATACAAAATGGAGGGCAAATAAATATATCAATCAATTAATTATATGCACATGGCCAAGATTTTCAGAAGCTACTCAAGAGACAAAAAACAAAAGTATTTGAAGTTTGTATGGTGGCATCATTACTACTACAGCAAAAAGAGATATTGTCAGGTGCTTTTGTTGTTTAACTGGCACAATCTAGTATAAACTGATAGCACTGAATCAGAAATTAATGTGCATGTCATCATTCTATCATTATTGTCAGATACTGGCGTGACACAAAGTGTGCAAGTCTTTTAATTGTTTTATATATAGGAAGCAGACCTAGAATCATTGATTGACAAAAGGTAACAGCTACTTCTCATATTACTTAATCCAAATTTACACATATTGAAGGAGACTGTCATGACACAGATTTTAAAAAATCAAGATGCATGGGATGATTTTTGCATTGCTGAAGTTTGAGAGAAAAAGCTATTGCAGTTAGCAGTAGGCATTGCTTTTACATCCATGTACCTCTCTCTAGCCCCCTTCACTACACAAGAAGAAACATTATTCTACATGAAGATAATGTCACCAGACAAATACAAATGACAGTTTAACAGGTGTTGCAAACTTACCTCCACTGACATAAAAGTATGCAACGACATATATGCAGACTAGGATTTCTAAGACTGAAGAGACTAATCAAATCTCTTAAATTTGAATAGAAATTTAGGAAGGACTTATTATAATCTTCGAATGCTTACTTTTGAATCATAGTCTGCCATTCTCCTTCCCGATCTCCTATAGGAAATCGGTCAATCTGAGCTTGAATTTTGGTTCTCCATTCTCGCATATAGTCTTCAATATCAAACACAAATGGATGCTGTCCAAAATTCGCATCCACCACTTCTCCTGGTGTTTGAAGACCAACTGTAGGATACAGGTTTGGCTGCAAGAGATAATTGCAATACATACTTTAATCTCGCAAAATCCAAATCTACTTTAAACTGGCATGAAAGCAAATTACTGAATAATAATAATAATAATAATAATAATAATAATAATAATTTATTATTTATACCCCGCCCATCTGGCTGAGTTTCCCCAGCCACTCTGGGCGGCTCCCAATCAGTGTTAAAAACAGTACAGCGTTACATATTAAAAACTTCCCTGAACAGGGCTGCCTTAAGATGTCTTCTGAATATCAGGTAATTATTTATCTCTTTGACATCTGATGGGAGGGCGTTCCACAGGGCGGGCGCCACTACCGAGAAGGCCCTCTGTCTGGTTTCCTGTAGCCTCACTTCTCGCAATGAGGGAACCGCCAGAAGGCCCTCGGCGCTGGATCTCAGTGTCCGGGCTGAACGATGGGGGTGGAGACGCTCCTTCAGGTATACAGGACCGAGGCCGTTTAGGGCTTTAAAGGTCAGCACCAACACTTTGAATCGTGCTCGGAAATGTACTGGGAGCCAATGCAGGTCTCTCAGAACCGGTGTTATATGGTCCCGGCGGCCACTCCCAGTCACCAGTCTAGCTGCCGCATTCTGGATTAATTGCAGTTTCCGGGTCACCTTCAAAGGTAGCCCCACGTAGAGCGCGTTGCAGTAGTCCAAGCGTGAGATAACCAGAGCATGCACCACTCTGGCGAGACAGTTCGCGGGCAGGTAGGGTCTTAGCCTGCGTACCAGGTGGAGCTGGTAGACAGCTGCCCTGGACACAGAGTTAACCTGCGCCTCCATGGACAGCTGTGAGTCCAAAATGACTCCCAGGCTGCGCACCTGGTCCTTTAGGGGCACAGTTACCCCATTCAAGACCAGGGAATCCCCCACACCAACCCACTCCCTGTCCCCCAAAAACAGTACTTCTGTCTTGTCAGGATTCAACCTCAATCTGTTAGTCGCCATCCACCCTCCAACCGCCTCCAGGCACTCACACAGGACCTTCACCGCCTTCACTGGTTCTGATTTAAAGGAGAGGTAGAGCTGGGTGTCATCTGCGTACTGATGAACACCCAGTCCAAACCCCCTGATGATCTCTCCCAGCGGCTTCATATAGATATTAAAAAGCATGGGGGAGAGGACAGAACCCTGAGGCACCCCACAAGTGAGAGCCCAGGGGTCTGAACACTCATCCCCCACCACCACTTTCTGGACACGACCCAGGAGGAAGGAGCGGAACCACTGTATGACAGTGCTCCCAGCCCCTCTAGACGGTCCAGAAGGATGTTATGGTCGATGGTGTCAAAGGCCGCTGAGAGATCCAGCAGAACTAGGAAACAGCTCTCACCTTTGTCCCTAGCCTGCCGGAGATCATCAACCAGCGCGACCAAGGCAGTTTCAGTCCCATGGTGAGACCTGAATCCCGATTGGAAGGGATCCAAATGGTCCGTTTCCTCCAGGCGTGCTTGGAGTTGTTCAGCAACCACCCGCTCAATCACCTTGCCCAAGAATGGCAGATTTGAGACTGGGCGATAGTTGGCCAAATTATAATATTATACAAAACATATTATACAAGTAGGGAAATGTGTATTTTACATTGGAATGCTATTGAATTTTTTAGTATGTTTATCTTACCGGCAAATCCGTGAAAGCAATACCTGTAATCAAGAGACATAAATTAAGATTTGTGCTGCCACAGTCACATAGAAAAATGTATTTTAATCATACAACATACTTAGTGCTCATATAATCTAAGTTGAGCAGCTTAGATCTCAAGAGGACAGGAAATATTACTGGTTAGTTATTCTCATTTTTTAGAATTTACTTAGGTGTACTCTTATGCAGTTAAGAAGCAGGCAGAGTGTACCTATGATAATGCAACATAAAAAGGCAATAAAAACAGGGATGCAGAGTTGGCAAGGAGGTTATCAACTCCTGTTTTACCAGGTAAATAATAGTTTACAGAGTTTACAGGAAAACTTGTTAAGAAACCTGTATTGCCAAGGAATGAACTAACATAAAAGTTAACTTTCAGCATCTGTTTTAGGGAGATGGCAACAGTATGTAGCTTATTTGAGAATTTGTTTTTTACTTTAAAATAACGAGCCCATGGGTTAGAGCTAGATTTCACCTCCACGAGCAAAAGGGATTCTTCTATCCACAAAATGCTTTTGACTCAGGGGAAACACATTGACTTTTGCCAATTTTCCCATCAGCCTCCAGCACAAACTCCCACACTGCTCCACAGAGTATTCCAACCCTCTGGAGCAGACTTCCTGAAGGAGCACAGTGCTGCAAGGGGAAAGGCAAACTGGCAAAAGTTACCTCTCTAACTTCTGCCACAGCAGAAGTGAAGCCTAGATACAAACAACTGCAAAGCTATTACAGTGGTACCTCTAGTTGCGAACATGATCCGTTCCGGGGTGCCGTTTGCACCCCGAAAAGTCCGCAACTAGAGTAGCACTTCCGCGCAGAGAGCGATAGAGCGCTTCTGCACATGTGCAAAGCACACAGAATGCTTCTGCGCATGCACATGCAGGAAAACCCGGAAGTATACACTTCTGGGTTTGCCGCATTAGCAAGCCAGAAATGCACAACATGAACCTAACACAACACAAGGTATGACTGTACCAGATTACCAATATTTTTACAGTTTTCATTATTATATTAATTTTGTTCTATGTTTTGCTGATAAAAACCGTAAGAACTGTGCAAAATGAATTTTGGCTTGGGGAGCAACAGAATAGAAAGAAAATATGATCCTAATTATTGAGATATAGAAAGTCATCCGGTAAGTTGCCTCTAGGCTGAATGTTTATTTTAAATTTGATTTTCTTCCACTTTTGAAGTGAACAATTTTGTATATTAACGTTTGCAAACTTGGAGCTCTTTTGAAACCCCAAAGAGCTACTGACAAGAGCCCTGACAAGTGTCCTCCTAGAACTGAGGAAACAGTATTTGAACTTTCTTTAACGTTTTCTTTCTGTGCTGAGCTCCAACAACAAAGTAATACGTAACATCTTAGATTTGGAAAGAGTGCTATCACCATTTCATTAGGTATCTTGATATACATTTAATTATCAGTGACTCTTCTTCATACCCAAACTATGTCCGTTCTTTGTGTAGAAACAGGTATTGTTGATAAGGTTTACACAACAGCCGATGACATCACCAGTTGTAAATGTTGGACCGTAGGGTTGTCCAGTTCCAGAGGAACAAAATGAATGTCCATCATCTCCATGGTACCCATATGAATGCTTATCCCAACCTTAAAACAAAACATGTAGCATTTAGCTTTGCAGCACATCAGATGATGCATCTGAAAATAAACACAACTGAATTCAAAAAGGTTAAGCCATAGGCATATGCCTAAAATAAGCATAAGACTATGCATAAACTGGAAACACAGCTTAACCTCAGGGCTGGGGGGCAAGCACAGGAGAAGAGTATTGGAATGCTGGAAGGAAATTCAGATGTAATGCAATATTTATCTTCTTATCAAGCTAAAACTTACTTTACTACTTTAAAAACATGAAATATATGGGTATGTGACTTGGAACATAAAACTGTACTTCAGCATATTTATGAAATTTTAGAGTATAAATGCTTTGCTGTATTAGAAGGACTACAAAGTAGCATTAGAGCTGCAGCAGCAAGCTGCTAAATCCAAAGGCCTCTTATCATAGAACAAGCAATACAAAGAAGCACAGAGATGAGACTTCGGAGTGTTTGGTAGCATATTTGTGAGGCTGGAGGAGAGAATAAGTTTTAAAGCCTGGGGCAGCAATAGGTGATGCAGAGATAGAGGATGAAACCATGAAGTGTCGGGATACTAGATTGGGAGGATGGGGAAAGTGCCTTTCAGCCAGCACCACCTTCAGTAAGCTCATTTAAGCTTAATGGACTTTACCCCTAAGTAGACATATATAGAATTGTACTGGAATGTGGATAGGAGGAGGAAAATAAAAACTGTTTTGAAATGGAACTTGGGGTGAGGAGAAAGATAAACCTTCCCATCACTGCTTATGGAGGGAAATTTAAGAAACTATTTGAGGGTGGGATCAGGTTTGGATAACTTTATTAAGTGATGGGTGTGTCAGCTGGAGTATTTTTCTTTTTTGGAGAGCATTTTTACAAAACCCTACAGGGCGTAACTTACAAAATGCTAGCGACAGGATTTTAAGGTTTTCACAGGTTATCTGGATTAGTATCTAAAAAAGATGTACTGATCAGCATCTCACAGGAATAAAGCAATGTTTTAAAACAAAACAATGATTTCTTATCATACCTGGTAGTCTGTTCATATTCACACCTTGAGCAGAGAGCCCAATCCCCATATAACTGTAATATTGAAAAAAAAAGTTTATCCTTTTTGAATTTCAAATGACCACTTCAAAACAGCAACATTGCAAGAAAATCTATTCGCTACTATTGAATTAAAGAGGTATGGATTGGCATGACAACCTAACAGTCAGTTTTTCATATAGCACAATATATCACACATGCTCTTTTGACAGGTACTAGATACACATTTCATTGAGAGGTGTGAAGTTAGATTTGTGGTGTAAGCAATCTGGACTGGCTTCTGTAAACTTGGGCCAATGCAAATGCAGGATGTTTCTATGCATGTGAAAAGAACAATATTGAGAAAAAACTTGCATTTTGGTTACACTGCTTTTGTAACTCAATAGGAGCTGATTTGGTAGATGGGCATGGATTGGCCAAAATGTTCTTTGGACTGGCCAAAGTAGTAGGCTATACTACAAACAGGAAGGGGAAATGGAAAGCTTATTCCTTCTTGTAACTTTTTTGTAGACCCAGCGGGATGCAAACCAACACTAAGAAAAAATTGCATAAAGCCACCTGTTACTTTATTTTTTCAATATCCACAACAGGAACTGATACCTTCAGGAGAAGAAAAGCTGTTTAGGGGTCCCCAACATCCCTATCCATCAAGCTCTGATTCCCCACTACTCTGTTAGCTAAACAGGGTTTTCTGCATTTTCCTCAAAGAGCTTGCCTAATGTCTCAGCAAGATCAATACACAAATGAAATGCAGCATGTCAGCATTTCTAAGATAAAGTGTCATCATCAAACATGGACTGTTAGCTGGTAAGGCTATAGCTTAAGAGAAAATAAGCTAAGGAAGAAGAGAAAGAGTAAAGGAGCTTCTTCCTAACAAGGGAACATATTCTAGCATGAAGAAAACAAGTTATGTAATACCTCTTGGAAGTATAGCGACATTGTGAAATGCAATGAATAGGAGACAATAAAAAGGAGTAAAAATTAAACTACTGAGGTTAAAATCCTACACCTACTTTCTTGTGAGTAAGCCAGACTGAATTCAGTGGGTTTGACTTCTGAGTAAACATGCAGGATTACACAATTACAAGGCATTTTAGGCAAACCTATTACAATTTCTAACAAGCTGTAGAAAACATCAGGAACCTTTGAGAGTGTAGTTCTTTCCAGATCCTAACCCACAGTCTATGATCCACATACTGTTAGCTACGTAAAAACTGGCATGAATCAGACACATCAAGCTCCAATAGCTGATCAAGTATACCTCTAGATACAATCACTATGGCAATTCATGTCTGATTAATCAATTTTCTTCAGATAAATGCAATAAACTATAGGAACAGGAAATTCATTTCAGTAATAATTCTACTCTTCAAAATATATCCATATCTTATTCAGCCTCTTAATGCTACTTTGATATACAATGGTACCTTGGTTCTTGAACTTAATCTGTTCCAGGAGTCGGTTTGACTCCCGAAACCGTTCGAAAAACCAAAGCGCGACTTCCAATTGGCTGCAGGAGCTTCCTGCACTCAAGCGGAAACTGCATCCGACATTCGGCTTCTGAAAAACGTTTGCAAACTGTAACACTTACTTCCAGGTTTGCGGTGTTCGGGAACTGATTTGTTCGACAACTAAGCTGTTCAAGAACCAAGGTACCACTGTAGTTCACATATTCCCGTTTCACCATTGACAAATACAGGATGGAAGGTAGCAAACTGACCAGGTATACCCACTGAATCCAGGCTAACCAAAGTTAATGTTTAAGATCCAAGTCCAAAATCAGCATTGCCATACAGTGGTACCTCATGTTACGGATGGGATCCGTCCCAGAGGCCCGCCCATAATGTGAAATGCAACTTGAAGTGCTGCACCTGCGATTTGGCGCTTCTGCGCATGCACGAAGAATGATTTAGCGCTTCTGCGCATGCAGCAAATCCCGGAAGTAACCCATTCCAGTACTTCCAGGTTGCCGCGGGAAATAACGTGAAAAGACGCAACATGAAGCGGACGCAACACGAGGTATGACTTTCAGCTTTTCTAGCACTCGCCCATATCTACAAAAGCTGTGAATTATACATAGGTGCTTATTGTGTCATCCATACAGCACTTTACAATCCAAACCTATTGTCACACCCTCAACCACTGTCGTAACCACATTGCAACAGATCCTATCTGTTCACATTTTGCAGATAGGAAGATCTGGAATCGACCATAGTCACCAGACCCATACTTCAACTTAAAGGTAAAGGTAAAGGGACCCCTGACCATTAGGTCCAGTTGTGACCGACTCTGAGGTTGTGGCGCTCATCTCACTTCATTGGCCGAGGGAGCCGGCGTACAGCTTCCGGGTCATGTGGCCAGCATGACTAAGCCGCTTCTGGCGAACCAGAGCAGCGCATGGAAACGCCGTTTACCTTCCTGCCGGAGCGGGACCTATTTATCTACTTGCACTTTGAGGTGCTTTCGAACTCCTAGGTTGGCAGGAGCAGGGACCGAGCAACGGGAGCTCACCCTGTCGTGGGGATTCGAACCGCCGACATTCTGATCGGCAAGTCCTAGGCTCTGTGGTTTAACCCACAGCGCCACCCGCGTCCCTACTTCAACTTAGGTCTTCCAAATCCATCTAAAACAGTTACTTCATATTATAGCCTCCACCACAGATGCAAGTTTTGACTCTAACAATGCAAAACATTAAGGTGTTAAAACATTGCAGTACGAATGGCTTTATCGGCATAGAGAGCCTTTTAGTCAGAATAAGTCTTATTCCGAGATTACTTCTTTGAGATTCTCCCAAAGGCAATTACTAATTGAAACTCATTGTTGCCCATGCTGGAATTATCAACAACTTCAGTTCTGCACTCCAGTTATAATATTTCTAAGACTGGTTCTTTAAATCAGGCAGCAATTGAGACTTTTCAACATCAGTGCCCCAGAAAAAGATGCCACCAAAACAATCTGTGAAAGCTATGATCAATTTGTGTCCTAGATATTAACTTTCTGCATGCTAGATAAGCAGGATTGTAGAGTAAGACATATCAATTCCAATCACAGAGATCAGAATTTTCACATTCTACACTGCAGTAAACTATTTAAAAGGAGTGGCAACATCTAAATTCACTAAAATATTATCACAGTGAAAGGAAACCCAAAGAATACTATACTCTGCTTACTAACACTCTAAGGAGTGCCCAAGTGCTGCTCCTATGTTCATAAAGGCCAGCAAAGAATACAACTCAAGCAATTCTGGACTCCATCAGACTGTTACAGTAAATACTTATCAATGGAAATGAATTGTCTGCTTAAAATTCAATTGTAACCTTTCATGCCAAAAGTGAATCGAGAATTTGATTTCTCTAGACTATTTGTGGAAACTTGGGTCTGCAACTCTAAAATCAATTACTAGGATTAAATTTTAAACATGTGGAGAGAGCTTGATTAAATACCTACTACTTTTACCAGATCTGAACAGAAAGTAGAATCTGGACATTTTTCAACATGAACACTAAATTATTGTTTTAGCAGAAATAGATGTATAAATTAAATTGTTTCTGAAACAAAGGTGCACTCAAACCTTACCCATCTCTTCCTTTGCTGACAATTTTAACTTCAAAATAGTATATTCCACAAGCTGCAGGTATGGGATGAGTAGCTCGAACAGAAGCAGCATCTTTTGGAGTTTTTCCATGGCCTGAAAAATATATTAAAATACACATTTACTACTTCATATAATATAAGAAGTGTGATTGTAAATGAAACAGTTAGGAAACGAAACATCCACTTAACTATTTCCAGACATCCTATTGGCACCTGCCTAGGAATCAATACTAAATCCATTGCAAAACCGATCAAATGACTGGTCCATTTACTAGCCTCTTAGCAGGCTAGTAAAATGTGCAGGTTGGTAAGATTTGAAAGTTTATTTACAGAGTTCCATTGCTCCAAGTCTGGTCCCACTTGATATGTAGCCTCACATCAGACAATCTCTAGTCCAAATTTCATCATGTTTGATCATACATTTTGCTTAACCACATATCTGCATTATGCAACATGGTTTTTAATAATCTGAGCTGCAATTGTGCACATATGCTGCTTAAATCCCACTGACTTCAACAGGATTTAATCATCCCAGCTGTGCACACGATTGCACTCCTAGTGTATTGATATTGTGACACTTGGTTTCTGCATCGAGGACTTGTCAAATTAGAGAACATGAGTTTTAAGTTGCCTTGGCAGAAAAACAGGCATTGGCACCTGCCACCAAGAAAAGCAAATTGTTGTATTTCCCAGACCAGTATCTTGACTGATCACTGAATGTATTTGCAGACACAGGAGTTACTTTGATACCTGCGTATCATCTCACTCAGAAATACAGAATCTTAAAAATGAAATTTGGGGTTACTCCCACATCTGCATATACTTTCAAAGGTGAACCTAAGCATCAGCTGTCAAGAGTATTATGAAAAGCTCTGGTAGAATCAGTGTTTTTCTTTAAAAATGTTTAGGAGTACTCTCATTTTCCTACTCATATTGAAATACTGCCCCTCAATGAGACCAAACTTAAGATTCACAAAATGTTTAAGGATATGCGTACCCCTGCGTACCCCCAGGAAAAAAGCACTGGGTAGAATCATAGAACTGTAGAGCTGGAAGGGAACACAAAGGTTATCTAGTCCAACCCCCTGCAATGCAGGAACCTTTAACCCAACTTGGGGCTCAAACCCACAACCCTGAGATTAAGGACCTTTTTCTGTCTCCCCACCTCCAGCTACACTCTGAAGACTGGAGAAGAAATGCTCTTAAGAATACTGCTACCATGGTGTCATTCAGATGTTGTTGGACTACAACTTTCATCAGTCCCAGATCAGGGATTAGAAGTTGCAGCAACATCTAGAGGGCACCACATAGGCAACCCTTGCCCCAGTCTGGAAATGTTTTATTATTTTGATATCTGATTGCAACCCTTCTTCCTTTGCACCAGAGTAACGTGAGTGAACTGGAACTTTGTCCGAAGCAAAACATAGAAGACTACTGCCACTAAGTTTTGTATCATCTTTCGCTTTGACATCTGCTATATAAAAATATTCCATCAGCATTGAACATCAAATATTTTTAAATTAGTAGTTCAACAGATATAAATCATTAGTTTATCAGCAATGAATTATCAAGTTTCTCCAGAGTTCCTTATTTACTGTGAAGAAAGGGTTAAATAAAATACTTATTTTAATATATTTTTTGATCAATCAAATAATATTTCAGCATGTCATCCAACAAAGATGCATTTTTGTATATGTTATTCAGCTGTGTCTCAGCAAACTTAGAAAATGTTAACACAAGCATATTACTGGATTTACAACTTAAACAATCCTATGGATGTTTACTCAGAAGTAGTAACTCCTGCAAAATTCCATGGTACTTACTCTTAGGTAAGTAGGCACAGGTTTGCAACTTGAGGGTACAAGAAGACATGCATAGGTTGTGCAAGCCCACTATGAATGGTAATCACTGTACTTAAACACATGTACCTTGTTCTTAGAGCAAACTTGTTATTCTAGTTTGGAGCTAAAGGTAGATTACACAGCACTGATTGGTCAATTCTTGTGTCACATTAGGAAGACCCTCTCCTCCATTTATTATGAGTATGGTTGTGAAAAGGCTAATTTGTTGAGACATGTGACACTTACAAAGCTTCGCCCCCCCCACCCCTTTGGAGTCGATTAGGTGTAAAACAAACTAAAAGAAAAATAAAACACCAAATGATTAAGCACATAGCATGTGGGTACCTTAGAAAACAAAAACAGAGCAGGCAGCCCACACAAATTACAGCAAAACAATCAGCATTCAGTTCAGGGCCTAGTAATTTATGTATTAAAATGCATTATTTATGTTATTCAGGGTGCAGAAGAAACTTGTCCCCCTGCACCTGTTTCCATATATGTATTTTATTTACAATATCTACACTATATAAAGTAGAATGCAATTTTTAAGTAGTGTTTTCATTTTATTTATGAATGTCCCAAAGCTAATTATATTATCAGTTCATTAAGAGTCAATGCTGAGATGGATAGGATTTAACAAACAGGATTTACACTTAAATGATCTGAAAATTAATGTAGGCACCATGAAATATAGAACTCATGCAATTCTAACTAACTACTTGAAAGATGAGCAAACTTCCTCACTACTGTACATTACATAGCTGCACAGGAACAGATTGATAAATTCTTGCACTACTATCCATCCCAGCCATATTCTACATGAAAACCTGGCAATAGAGGTCTCACCCACTGACCAATTTCATATTTTTATGTGATCCTATCTAGAGTTTAGCAAAGAATGCTGTTATAATAGTTTACTTTTAGAAAATTTGTCCTTAAGTTGATATGACTAACCGCCAAAGCAATAACTGATTAAGCACTGAACTTTTCAGAAATTTCATTATATGCAAAACTCAAATACCATTTTCTCCTAATAGATATTCTCTATTATTCTAACACTTGAGTCACTGTGCAAGTTATTTTTCTAAATATTCTAAATGACAGTGGGGCTGCTGCTTGCATGAAGAAACTGCTTTTCTAACGAGAACTATCACAATCCCACATAATGGAAAAAGAAAAGCATTTCACCATTTTCTTATTTAGGTCCAAGCAAATCAAGTCTTATCAGATACAGGCCCTTGGTTTTCAGCGATGCCTACCTGCCCAGCTAGTCAAAGCTTCAAAGACCTTCCCTCCACATTCTCAGTAAACTGAAGGTATTTTTCAATAACAGTAATTACAAAGTGGTCTATGAATAGTAAGTTATGAAGCTGTCCCTTTTTCTCCACAGTTGTGATCGCAGCTCACTGTAAGCTCTGAAGAAAGAGAAATATGCTACTATTTCTGAGCAATGCAGTGCAGTGCTATACTATTTCTGAGCATTACAGCACAAGAAAAAAGACGCCACTAAATATAGCTTTACATTAAGTCAAGCCATAAGACATAAGTATTCTATACTAAGAAAGTACCTCACAAGGTAACACAAAGCAACAACAAAAGTGATAGTTGAGACAACCACAAATTAATCCCCAAAGTGTAGGCCACTACATAATAACCATACCTTAGCAAGCAAAAAAAGCATTACACACATGAACCTAACAGGAAGTTCAAAGTAATGCCTGCAACTTTCTTATATACAGTGTTTCCATACAACACAGCACTTCCAAATAACACAGTGCATGCATGCATGAACAAACACACACACACACACAAAAACCAAAGCAGAACGACACTCATCCTAAGCAGAGGGCTTGGGAAATTTTAGATTCTGGGTTTAGATTCCTTTGTGTTCATCAGTAATTTTACTTCTATTTTAACATTTTATACTCTTCAAAGTCTAACTACACTGAAGGCTTCACACTGCCCTTCTATACTCATCTTATAATCTTACAAGAAGAACCTGCTTTTCATTGCCAACTCTAAAAACAGTTTCATATACAATAGGCATATTTTTTTCTAGATTCACATTAACCAGCCACCTCCTCTATTTAAAATCGTATCTGGGTTTTGTATGCCATTTCCAGAAGCTGCAGGAAAAAAAACAATCTGTTACAAGAAACCCCCACCCTAGTAGAAAATTCATTTTCTTTTATTTGATAAAGTAATACACCCCACTGTTGCTTGTGAACATAAGGGGGAGAAATCTGTCAAAATATATTTTGGGGCTACTTGTAATGTGATAAACATTTTGAATTCCTGGAAACTAACAATGTTTTTCTAACCTATTTTCCTCACTTTTACATGCTCAGTAGTTTTACATTTGTTCTTCCAACCTGTATTGACCTTTGCACTTTTGCTAAACAAACACACATTTCTTGCCATAACTGGTTATTTTTAATTGGACACGTCACAGTGACTGACTTGCTTTTCTCCTCCCCTGACCCCAAGCTGTTATTCAACAAGAGAACTGATCGGCTGAGTTTGTTTATCCTCTTCCCCCAAACCAGAAAGCAAAGGATCCTTCGAGTGTCCCTTACACATTTGAGACCAGTGGAGAGAGACAAGCAAGGAGGGAGGGATAAAGCCAGATTGTCTCCACTTGGCTGTCTAAATTCTTCCGAAGACCCAATGAGAGCTATTTCCTGTTGTTCTATTTTTCTACATTTCCCCCTCCCCCATGATGGTTCCTTCTCAAGATGCTTCTGTTCCCCCAGTAAGGAAATGATATGTGAGATTTGGGGAGTGGGGTAGAAGAGCAATGACCTCAAATTAAAGTCCCAAATGTCTTTCTTTACTCACACATATACACCCCACCCTAAGATTATAGGAGTGAAGGTTTGACTAAAAGGTAATCCGAGGCCTAGCTTCCGGAACAGGCCTGATTGCTCAAAGAGGTGGTATTGGGAGAGGGGGGCGTAGAGAAAGAAAAACAGAAAGGATCAAGGAAGGAGCTAACTGGGGAGGGGGGAGAGCAGGTGCCACCAGATCTATCTGTGGGCGAGTTGGGGAGCTTGCAGGACTGGCGTCAGCATTGTCTGCCAGGGATGGAAAGAAAAATAATGTTTGTGGGGGGGGGACTGAGGGACTCCTCCAACGACAAGGGTTGGGGAAGAAGAAGAGAAAAGGCTATTCCGCTCCAGTCACGGGAGGGGAATATGTACTGGCCCAACTGGTGCGCGGTCTTCGGAAGGCGGGGTGCGGGAAGGAAGCCTAGGCTCGGGGTCCACCGACCTCGGCGGAGAAAGGCAACAACCGAAGCCTCCCGACGGTTTCGGGGGAGACGTTCAGAGCTTCCCTGGGAGTTTCTCAGCCTGCCTTTCGGAGGAAGAGGCGGAGGGGGCCTGGGGATGGCGGCGGCGGCGGCCTCACCCTCCCTCCGTCCCTCTCACCTTTGTAGTGGACGCGCAGGTTGTTCTGCGAGAGGCCGATGTAGCTGAATTTGTCCTTCGGGCTCCAGGAGCGCGGCAGCGGCGTCTCCTGCTCGTCCACGGCCGGGTAGAGCCGCTTGAGGCGCCGCTTGAGCTCCTTCTCCTGCTCGTTCAGGGCCGGGTCGCCGCCGTGAGGGAAGGGCGCCGGGGCGCTGCTGCTGCTGCTGCCGCCGCCGCTCCCGGCAGGCATGGGCCCAGCTGAGGCGGCGGCGGCTGTTGTGGTGGCGGCGGCGGCGGCGATAGCGGGCGGAGGAGGGGGCGGCGGCGGGGCCGAGGTGGCCGGCGGCGGCGGGGGAGGCGGCGGCGGGTGGAGCAGGAGGGCGGCCGGGGCCGGTGAGGGAGTAGGGTTGCCCGGGGCTTGAGGAGCCGTCGCCGGGAGTTGCTGCTGCTGCTGTTGTTGCTGCTGCTGCCCGGACATGCCGGCCTCCTCCTCGTCCGCTGTCCCAAGTGAACTGAGAGGAGGCTTGAAGGAGGTGTAGTATAATATAAAACGGGAAGAGGAAGCCCCAAACCGGAGTGAGACCCGGGGAAGAAGGAAGAGGCGGCGAAGAGAGGCTCCGCTTCTTCGGCTGAGCGACCCGACTGAGCTCGCGCGAAGGCGAGCAGGGGGGTTGGAAACAGACGATGACGAGCCGGCGCGTGCGTGCAGCTGCTGGCCTCGAGCTCGGGAAGCTGCGCGCGGCGATGTTGACGCGGGGCGCGCGAGAGCTTGGGGGCGGGGGGGGGCGGGAGAGAGAGAGAGAGAAAAGAGTTGGCAGCACCAGGCGCTGTTACATTGCGCTGCGGACGCTGCCAGCAACGGCGGTGGTTGTGCGGCAGCCGCCGCAGCAGAACGTCCTCCTCAGTCAGCTGAGCTGCGTGGCGGCGTAAGGAGCCGAGGGGCGGAGCTTCTTTTCTGAAGAACCTGAGGGCGGGGGTCCTCAGGCGCCTTCGGAGAAACGGCGCCGGCCCAGAGCGCTTCTGGGAGACTGCCTTTGTGCGTAAAGCCCTCTTTCCCTCCCTCCAGCCCCGTGTCACCTGTGGAAAAGGGGGCTGGATCCAGTGACGTAACTGTTAGGGAAGCCAGAGCAGGAAAGTGAGTGGGGGGCGGCGGGGCCGCTTTAACCCCCGTTTCCTTTTTGAAAGAGAAACTTAAAGTGTTTATTTCACATCAACGTTCCCATCCGGAACACATTTTTCTCTGCAGTCAACCCTGCTTATTATTATTTTTAGACGTTTGCTTAAAGTATGCCTACTCACCGTCGCAGCCTTATTTTAATTCCAATTTACAATCCAGTTATTACTTCCATAAGGATCCAGCAACGGGATGGGTGGGAGACTCCTTGCCTCCCTCTCGCAGGATTTGCCAATAAATGGTATTTTAAGGAAAATAAAGATCGCTGTTCAATGTGCTAGGTTGCTGCCAAAGGCGAATCGGTTCTTTAAAAAAAAATATTTTATTGGTTTACGTAAGTACATGCATTGTCTCCTTTTCAGGTTGTAAAGTATTTTCTACAAATCAGTTACATTTGATATGAGACGTTAATTTTGTACTCAGTATGTGGTCAGGGAAGGAGAGGAGGGGTGGGGAAACTTACATTCTTTTATATAGTGAACATGGTGCAGGGAGGGGTCAGAATTGGTTCTGTTCTCTTAACAGAGGGTGAGCCTTAAAAGGAAAAGGAAGATAGCTTGGGTTTATTGTTACTTTATTTTTCTCCTCCCACAGAAGAAAACAAAAACACAAAATCCAAGTTAAGCTGGGATCTCAAAAGATGGACTAATATCAACGATTAAGCAATCTTTTCAATACTAGGCAAAATATGATGATGTCACAGTCTTAAAATATATGTTTAGTATTATTAACTTGATTCATTAGCCCTAAGGTCCTAGGATGGGTCACAGCAATCTAAAACACAATATTACAAAGTTTAAAACAAATAACAAACATAGAGTGGGTCCCAATGATATCCATATAAAATAAAAAAATAACAGCTAGAAACCTATAAAACTCATTATTTTTTTTCTAAAGATAAATGAATAAATCATACAACACACTTCAGTTGGATAAGCACCATTCCGTGGGAGTTCAGTATAAAACACTGTGATACAGATAATCACTACCTCCGGTGTGGGCTAATTTTAAGATCCAAGTCCAATCCTTCAGTTATGAGTAATAGAGAAACATATTTTCTCACAGGTACTGCTTTCCACAGCTAGAAAATGTCATCCCTCTCCATTTGGACACTTGCCTTTTATTGCACATTCAGTGAAAGGCAAAACCTGAAATGCTTGCATATGTCATTTTAAAAAATGGGCCAAAGAAGGGAAACCAGCCAGGCCTCTTTAAGTCATGGTTCCTATAGGGAGAACGACTTGTCATACTGGGTTTGTTACTTTATTGATCTCAACCTCAACTAGACCTGTTCTGGTGAACTGTGGCATGATGTAGTACACCTTGCTTAAAGCAAATATAATAATAAAGCTCTCTCACTTTCTGGAAGAAGCTCCTTTGTACCCAGGTGCACCTCTGGAAGGCTGGAATCCATTTCAGAGGGGTGCATGTTTGTGGAACGATATCAGGATGATAACATTTCAGATGTAGACATGCTAGCTCTTCCAAAGTGTTCCTTTGGTAAAGTGCAGAACTCAGCTGGCCTGTGTTACTTTCTATTGATTTGCAGCCTCTCAAAGCCAAGATACAAGAAAGCCTCTCTTATCCCAACCCAACATAAGCTGGAGCCCTGTTTGATCATCCAAACACTAAAAGGAGGCTTGTGAACACTCAGGCTTCTGCTACCGCATTTTTTTTTGGGGGGGGAGGATATGCAAAGTAAGGACTGAAAATAATTTGCCAATTGTATTTAGGAAGCAATCATCCTGAAGTATCATGTTCTGATAATAACGTCTTGGGGGGGAGGGGAGGGAGCAACAATTCAGCTGGCTCCAATTAGGTAACAATTATGTAAGAGAGGTTAGTTTGAGGCCTTTTAAACAGAGCAGACACAGCCAACAACCCTCTCCCCACTGTCAAAACACCATGATTTTGTGCATTTAGGATATGTCCATTTTGGATATTGTGTGTATACATGGGGTGTGTGCTGTTCTGTTTTGTTGTTTTTAATGTGGTGAGATACTGCACTGATTTGTGTTTCGAAACTGGAAATGCTTAGCCTAGTCTTCCATGCATTCACTACGCCAAATTATAATTGTCTATAGGAATATTTTTCACTATAAAACTTTTTCTATAGAGCCTTTCACCCTCAGAATCCTAAAACATATATGGAAAAATGTATCAGTAAAATATTGACATCAGTTACGCTAAAAACTGGGATGAACGGCCAAGCAAATAGGTAAGTTTTTAAGGCCTGCAAGAAGCCCATAACAGTTGGTGCCTGCCTCATCTTCAACAGGGAGGTCACTCCATAGGGTAGACACTGCCCCAAAGAAGGAACTTTTCTGTACTATCATACAATGAACACCAAGCCCCCTCTGCAGATCTGAGTGCTAAGGCAGGTATATACAGGAGAAGGCATTTTCTTAGGTAACCTGGTGAACTATTTGGTCTTTGTAACTGATAAAAGAACCTTAAACTGGTCTCAGTAACAAACTAGCAGCCACTGCAGTTCTTTAAGTATATGTGTTATATGCATACGGTAGAAACGCCCACTGAGCAACACAGCTGTTGTATTCTGCACTAGCTGCAGCTTCCAGACCAATCTTAAGGGCAACCACAAATAAAGTACATTACAATAGTTCAGTTTACCCTCTCCAGAAACAACAATAGACACTTCTAGCCACTGAAGTCACTTGACCTTCAGTGACAACAATGGAAATAGGAGCACTCCAAACTATGTACCTGTTCCTTCAGCAGAAGTGCAACCCTGTATAAATCAGGTGCAGTCCTGGATCCAGGCCTCTTGGCCCAGATGTTTGAGAAAAATAGAGCTGAACATCATCAGCATATTGATGACACTTTGCTTCAAATCTCATAATGACCACTCCCAATGGTTTCATGTGGCTGTTAAGTAGCATTGAGGACAAAATAGTGCCTCGTGGCACCACACAGGATAACTACCAGGGGCCAAGACATACGGTAATTCCCAAATGCTGTTCCCTAGAACCAGCCTCCTAGGTAAGTATCAAAAGCAAATGCAAGACTGAGTGATTCCTCTTTCCCACTCCCATTCCTCTTGCACTGGCAACAGTCCAGTATCCATTTAGGAAGAACAGCCACAGAGAGAGTATAGATCTATGGGAAATACTGGTGTCCTAGTCCCAGAGTGCAGCAACACCTCCTCTCAGACACTTCTGTCAGCAGGTGGTACAATAAGCCAGTTAGGACTACCAGGAACCACAGGGTGCTGTTGTTAATTCTTCTGCCTAACTGCTGTTCCTCTTACCACCAGTGGTCACAGTCGAGTGTCCATTCATGGACAGCAGCTTACAAAAGAGGTGGATCAGTCAAGGTGGTCCAGACCAGAACATAAGAAGAGGAGGCAAATGGATCATCTAGTTCAGCTTCCTGTTCTCTCAGTGGTCGATCAGATGCCTGTGGGGAACCAGCAAGCAGAGCCTAAACACAAGTGCATTCTCTCCTCCAGCAGTTTTCACCAACTGGTATTCAGAAAGATACTGCCTCCAGCCTGCCTATAGAGGCACTTGCATGTTTCATAGATAATCTATTCTAAAGCAAAATGATAAACCATATGGAATGCTGAAGCCCCCATTGCCTGATTTGTAGTAGTAACCAGCTTCCAAGTTAGTGACCACTTAAGCAGTGATGGGGAAATTGTGGCTCTCCAGATGTTGGCTGGTGATGATTGGAGTTTGAGCCCAATAACAGAGAGAGGGCAATGGTACCTACCCCAGGCAGAAAGCAAAGCTGACATTGTCTCTCATCAAGAAAGTCTACCCAGCTTACATCCCATCTATCATAGCACAGTTTGTCATTCCTCCCAGATCGGAGAAGCAGGGTGTTCCTTAGGCTCAACAGAACAAAATCCCAACCACAGTTTAAATAACATCTTTTCCATCTGAAAAATGCTTCAGGTGTTCTGATATGCTTAATATTCTGTTAAAAAAAGAAAAGAAAAGTCCTTTTGTGTAATGCCAAAGTTCTTTTGTTTCAAATGAGCATGCCTGGTCATGTGTTTAGGACATACTGTATAGAGTTCTGAATATTCCATTCTGCCCCCTAGATGACGGAAACCCAGGCACTAAATTTACCTACCGTAACTGCCAAAAACCTACTCAAGAGGGGGGCAGGCTTCTTCTCTCATTATGCTTAGTAGGGAGAAGGGAATGTGCACCACACCTTCTGAACAGCAACACTTCAACTGTTGTGAAAACTCTGTCAAAGATGCCTGGCGATCACAGATGGCGAGTCAGCTAGAAGTTAGGCAGGGTCTCGCACATCTGTAAATAACCCTTTTGCCTCACCCTACAAGCTACATTCTCACTCAAATCCTTTCAACTTTCAAAGTGTACAATTTAAACAACTTTCCAGTACGGGATTGGCTTTGGTAGAATCATGTGCCTTGGTACATTAGGCAAGATATTCTCCCTTCACTGCACAAGTACAATGCCAGCTTTGTGGCATGTCAGTGCAACAACACTGCATATTCCCAGCAGCGATTATATTCACTCCTCACACCTTGTCAACAGATAGAGGGGTAACAGTCAAGCTGGGGCTTGTGCATATGATCATTTGTGTTG